GGTACTTTATTCATTTCACGAACAGTGTGTAAAGTCACATTGTTCGTGAAAATACCATACCATATGAATGCTATTGGCTTTCGGCCGTTAGCATACGAATGCTCTATACTACCAAATTACACGAATACATTTATGCACAGAATTACAGCGGCTTTTACAGACAACCTTCCAATGTACAGCCGTATGACCTAAAGTGGCTAGGTTTGCCACAATGCTCCCCCAGAACCAAGCCGGCATACACAGTCTGATCCCAACGGATTGGCTTGGGGATGTCCGGAAGAGTACCCACAGATCACTTTTCAAGGTCAGCTTTTCTGGATAACCCGTCGGTGTTACCGTTTTGCTTCCCTGGTCAGTAATGAATGGTAAAGTCAAAAGGCTGCAGCACCAAACTCCAGCGCAGCAGCCTGGCATTGTCTCCAGCCACACCAACGGGTTGTGATCTGTGAGTAAGGAAAAAGGTTGTCCATATAAATAAGGCTTTTTGAGGGCCCACACCACGGCCAGGCATTCTCTCTCAATGGCGGCGTAGCTTACTTCACGGAGCAATAACTTTCTGCTTAAGTAAGCTACGGGATGTTCTCCGCCATCTGCTCCAACTTGGCTCAGCACTGCTCCCAATCCAAACATTGACGAGTCTGTGTGGACAAAATATCTTTTAGTTGGATCAGCAGCAGCAAGTACAGGTGCATTGGTTAATGCAGTCTTGAGTTGTTGGAATGCCTGATCACACTCTGGGGCCCAGATGACCTGTCGAGGAAGGTTTTTGCGGGTCAAGTCAGTCAGGGGTTTGGCCAGGGCACTATAATTGGGTACGAATGTTCGTTAGTACCCTGCAGTACCCAGGAAGGCTAACACTTGGGTTTTTGTCCGGGGGGTAGGCCACTTAGCTACTGCCTCGATTTTAGCTGGTTATGGCTTTTGCTGTCCACTCCCTACCTGGTGCCCAAGGTACTGCACCGCTGCCATCCCTATGTGACACTTGCTGGCTTTTAGCGTCAACCCTGCCTCTCCAATACGGTCAATGACCGCTCCAATATGTCGCAGGTGGTCTGAACATGTCTGGCTGTATGTAGCGATATTGTCCAGGTATGCACATGTATACTCTGGAACCCATCCAGTAGCCGATCTACCATCCGTTGAAAGGTAGCCGGAACATTTTTCATCCGAATGGCATGACTCTAAACTGGTACAGGCCAAACGGGGTGACAAACGCCGACTTGGGGATGGCATCTTCGGCTAGCGGAATCTGCCAGTACCCTTTGCATAAATCTATTGTAGTGAGGTACTGGCCTCATGCCATCTTGTTTAGCAGCTCGTCTATCCGGGGCATCGGGTAGGCATCAGACACTGTTTTGTTGTTTAGCCTCCGGTAGTCTACACAGAATCGTGTTGTGCCATCCTTCTTGGGTACCTGCGATGCCCAGAGGCTATCAGAATGTTCAATAACCCCTAGCTGCAACATTTCCTCAATTTCCTTCCGCATATGTTCCCTGACTGCTTCAGGGATACGATATGGGGTCTGCCGCATAGGTAGCTGTCCTGGGGTCTCGACTCGGTGAGTAGCTAGCTGAGTGTACCCTGGTAAATTGGAGAAAGTTGCACCCTTAGCCGCGATTAACTCCTGTACCTGGGCACGCTCCTGGGGGCTTAGCCGCTCCCCCAGCTGAACACCTGTGGAGGGCTCTGCCGGATCTTCTCGCTCTTATAAATCAGGTAGCGGAAGATTCTCCTGATCCTCAGAGGCTGATGCGCATATCGCGGCCACGTCCTCAATCCTCTCATGATAGGGTTTGAGCATATTCACGTGGAGCATGGGGCCAATGACATAGGTGGTGTCACATCTCTGTTCCACCACCTGGTATGGGCCTTGCCAGATGGCCTGCAGCTTGTCATTGCGAACAGGTTTTAAAATCAAAACTTTCTGTCCCACTTGAAAGCTGCGGTCCCTGGCTTCCCTATCATACCATCGGCGCTGGCGTTGTTGGGCCAGCTGGAGGTTTACCCGTACGGTCTGGGTTAGTGCCTCCAAGCGGTCCCTGAACTCCAGCACATATGGTACAATGGGTATCCCATCTGCACTGCTTTCTCCCTCCCAATGCTCCCTAATTAAATCTAAGGGCCCTCGCACCTTTCTCCCAAACAGCAGTTCAAAGGGGGAAAACCACGTAGACTCTTGGGATACCTCTGTAGGCGAATAGCAGATGGGGTAGAAATCGCTCCCAGTCCTTATGAGCCTCTCCAAAGGTATGGAGCATCTGCTTTAAAGTCCCATTAAACCTTTCACATAACCCATTAGACTGAGGATGGTGCGCAGAATTCATGATAGGCTTAATGCCACATATTTTCCATAGTTGGTGGGTTACTTCGACCGTGAATTGCGTACCCCTATCTGATATGATCTCCTGTGGGAACCCTACCCGGGAGAAGACTTTCATTAATGCTTCGGCCACTGTCTCGGCGTGGATATTGGAAAGGGTTACTGCTTCGGGGTACCGGGTGGCGTAGTCTACTACGGTCAAGATATATGTCTATGGCCACTCTACTAAACGGTTCTTCTATGATGGGCAGTGGGCATAATTTGGCCTTGTGGCTGTCACCCCTCTTGCCTACTATCTGACAGATGTCGCATGTCTGGCAGTACAATAACCCCTTTTTCCAGGCATACCGCTCCCCCTCTAATCCTGCCTGGTCTGAGGTCACCCTATCCCTGTACACTTTTAACATAGGGTCTATCTTAACCTCTGCCTCAAATTCAGTTGGGGTATCCCAGGTAACACGTGTCGTAGGGGTGACATTGTCTCTTACCTGAGCCTCAGAGTGCGCGGATGGAGCCATGGTGCGAGCCAGTTGCCTCGTGGTTACTGTGTGCCTCTTGGAGTGGAGCTTGAGGTATAAAAGCGGAAGTCATTCTGCCCAGGTCATTCCCCAATACGACATCTGCCGGCAGCTTTTGCATCAGGCCCACCTCTACCATTCCTTCCCCCACACCCCAATTCAAATGTACTTTTGCGGTTGGTAATCTGTATACCGCTCTCCCTGCTACTCGCACGGCTACGGATCCACCGGTGTGTGCCGAGCCTGGAACCAAATGATGTGCTACCAGGGTCAGGGTGGCCCCTGAATCCCGGAGCCCTTGGACTTCTTTCCCTTCCAAGGTTACTAGCTGGCGATGGTGTTGCCTGTTGTCTGTGGCTTGTACAGACATCACATCGTGTAGTATTCCCAGGGGCTCTTCTGTAGGATTAAATAATATCTCCTGGGTTGCTGGCTCCGCTTGGTAGTGGTGTGCGGCTGCTCTTGGTGCTGCGTTCGCTCGTACTTGGCTCCATGCTTGACGGCTCCGGTTCTGGGTACACTCTCTTGCCATGTGGCCCCATTGCTTGCATGTATGGCACTGGATATTAGCTCTGCCATTATATCGGGATGGTGGAGTGTGCCCCCCTGGGGTTGGCCGGAATGGGGTTGCTGTGGGTGCAGTAGTGGTAGCTGTAGGAGGTTGAGTGGCGGGTCGAGGATACCCTTGGTTGAGGTTACCGTGATGCCTCCTGGCATCATAGTGCTGGTCTGCTAGTCATGCAGCTTCTGTTAGGGTGAGGGGTTTTCTCTCACCCATTCCTGTGCCTCTGGACCAGGCCATTGTAAAATTGCTCTAACAACAGCAATTGTCGTAACTCCTCCATGGTGGTAGCTTGGCTGGCTTGTATCCACCCCTGGGGGGCTTGGTCCAGTTTGTGTGCCCACTTTGCATGGGAGTCTTTCTCCGGTTTGCGCAACCCTCGAACCTTTTGCCGGTATGCCTCCTGGGGAATGGCATATCTCTCTAGTATAGCCTGTTTTACCCTGGCATAATCTTTGCTGTCCTCTCTGGGTACGGCCCGATAGGCTTCTGCTGCCCAACCTCACAGTTTGCCTGCCAGTAAAGAAACCCACACTGCCTGCTCCAAATCATGCAGGTCACATAGTCTCTCAAAGTCTTGTAGATACCCATCAATCTCGTCTTTATCTTCGCAAAACATTTTAAAAGCATGGTATGGGATCTTGGGCTTTACCTGGCTGGTGACTGAAGCAGCAGTGGATTCGACTCTGGAGGGTGAATCTTGCGGTCCGTGTGCCATCACATACTCTTGCACATCCGCCATCAGTACTGTCAGTATTTCCAGTGGTACTCGCTGGGGTAAGAATTCCATCCTGGTCCTAATTTCCTCTCTCTCCCTCCATCACTTCGGCAATCAGCACAGCTTTTGGCTTATTGCTGGCTATCTTACCACTGGCTTCCAATAGTTCCTTTAACATCTGCCGTTTCAATGCAGTGTAATCTGTCTCCATTCAACTCTGCGTTCGGTTCTTTGCTGCATACGAATTGCCATTCACTTTCTTGTTCGGTAGTTTCAATTACCCGAACACCGCTTTTCGGCTGTAAGGTTGGATCCCGTCGCTTGCCACCAATTGTAGCGGAGCTGCAATATTAAATCCCAATGTCTCCGCTGGTATAGAAGGTAATCCAAATAAAGCGCCGGAAATTAAGGCAATATCCAGGGCCGTCTTTAATTCTGATTGGACCCTGGGAAGCATTAACTTGGGCCCCCTGACTACATATAGATACACACAAATACAAAACCTGACACACATGCAGATACACACTGACCGCATATAGATACACACAAGAACATACAGATACACACAGACTACATAGAGAACACTGAAACACAGACAGACACAAACACAGATACACAACCTGACAAACATGCAGATACACAGATACAAACACTGATACATGCAGATACAAAGGTACACACACTGACTACATATAGATACACCGGCACACACACTGACACACATACAGACACACAGATACACAGATACACAACCTGATACACATGCAGATATACATATACAAACACGGACACATACAGATACACACTGACTATATATAGTTACACACACAAACACAAACGGACAACATACAGATACAAAGGCACATTCTGACAGATGTACTGACACAGAGACACACACAGACAGCCATACTGAAACACACATACACACAGACATACAGAACCACATGGACACTGACAGACTCACACATAGACATACTGACACACTGACAGACATACAGACATTATGGCACACATACACACAGACAGACATACTGAAACACACATACACACAGACACTGACAGACGTACACACATACAGACATTTTGACACTCACAGACAGCCATACTGAAACACACATATACACATACATACTGAACCACACAGACACTGACCGACTCACACACACACAGACATACTGACACATATACACACAGAAGGACATACTGAAACACACATACACAGACACTGACAGACATATTGACAAACACAGACATACAGAACCACACATACACTGACAGACACACACACAGACATACTGACACACTGACAGACATACTGGCACATATGGACATACTGAAACACACATACACAGACACTGACAGACATATTGACAAACACAGACATACAGAACCACACATACACTGACAGACACACACACAGACATACTGACACACTGACAGACATACTGGCACACTGACAGACAGACATACATAGATACTCACACACACACACACACACAGACACTCATGCAAAATTTGATAACCACCCTCCAGTTTCTTACCTTTTCCTGGAGGGTGGCTTCCCTGGGGTCCAGTGGTCTGGCTGGGGTGGCTGGGAGTTAAGCTCTCCCGGCCTGGCCCCCTCCGGAACAGCTCCTTCCTCCCGCGCGGCTCTTGTTTCTGTGGTTTCCTAAGTGCATGGGCCACCCGTTGGGCCCCCATAGTTTGCGGGCAGAGGGCAAAAGGAGCAGCTGACTTGGGCCCCCCAGCTGGGACAGGGCCCGGGGCAGCTGCCCCATTTGCCCTGCGTTAAAGACGGCCCTGGCAATATCCCAAATCCCCCAGTAACTGGACGAAACACAGTTCTGGGAGTCAACTGATAATTTTATTCACAGATCCAGTATTTATGTGATTCCCCATGCTATGGGTTTCCTTAGTCACTTTACAGGGGTATTACAGTAGCTTACTACATGGGGACTGAATATACAGAGCATTTCTCCCACCATGCACTGCTGCACGAGAGGGATACTCCCACTAGAATATCCTGTTAAGTGGATTATCCCTCCGAACAACCTGATTTTAACATAAAACTGTATAACTTTAACATTATTCGTGGGATTATAATAAAATGACCGTTCGGTAGATAGCTGGGGTCTGAGCGCACACTTTGTGAAAATACCGCTCAGATCCCAGCCTAAATAGCCGAACGCTGCACGAAATATACTTTATATCACATTCTCCTAAAAAGTATTGAATATCTATTGGAGAACAAAATACCGAAAGACCGGCGTTCGCGCCGTCGAGTAGCCGATTTTAGTTCCAGGTGCTCGACGACCAAACACCGCTGTGCTAACAAAGGATCCAAGATGGCCGACCACCGCATAGTCGGTAGCCGAACGACGGTCACCCAGGAAAGCACTTAAAGGACCACTCTAGGCACCCAGACCACTTCAGCTTAATGAAGTGGTCTGGGTGCCAGGTCCCTCTAGGATTAACCCTTTTTTTTTTTATAAACATAGCAGTTTCAGGAAACCTCCATCAGACAAATAGTCCCTACTTTGTCTTATGTTTTAAAGAAAACTAGATTAGATAGGAAGAAACTGAGAACAGATCCTGACAGAGGGAGAGAATAGGAATCGATTGGGGAAAGATTAGTTCGCAATGACAGTGCTGCTTTAAATATCTTGCATAGGTTTTATATGGTGTCCCTTTAACCCCTTAAGGAGCAAACTTCTGGAATAAAAGGGAATCATGACATGTCACACATGTCATGTGTCCTTAAAGGACCACTATAGTGCCAGGAAAACACTCGTTTTCCTGGCACTATAGTGCCCTGAGGGTGCCCCCACCCTCAGGGTCCCCCTCCCGCCCGGCTCTGGAAGGGGGAAAGGGGTTAAAACTTACCTTTCTCCACCACCGGGCGGGGAGCTCTCCTCCTCCTCTCCTCCCATTCGGCTGAATGCACACGCGTGGCAAGAGCTGCGCGCGCATTCAGCCGGTCGCATAGGAAAGCATTATCAATGCTTTCCTATGGACGCTTGCGTCTCCTCACTGTGATTTTCACAGAGAGAAGCACGCAAGCGCCTCTAGCGGCTGTCAATGAGACAGCCGCTAGAGGCTTTGGAGGAAGGCTTAACCCATTCATAAACATAGCAGTTTCTCTGAAACTGCTATGTTTATGAAAAAATGGGTTAACCCTAGCTGGACCAGGCACCCAGACCACTTCATTAAGCTGAAGTGGTCTGGGTGCCTAGAGTGGTCCTTTAAGGGGTTAAATATATTGCATAGGTTTTGTATGGTGTCCCTTTAAATATATTGCATAGGTTTTGTATGGTGTCCCTTTAAATATATTGCATAGGTTTGGTGCCATTTTGATTAATAAAACGATCCTAATGTGATTATTATGACACAATATTTAGATTTATTTCTATTGAAAGCACGAGGGTTGGAGATAGACCATGTCCATGCAATATGTTGGTTATGTTTATTATTAAGTAGTTTTGTTCCATTTCTCCCCCTTCTAACTTGCAGTTTGTCCCATTTTGCTCTAATGTGAAAAATCAAAGTGAAATTTAAATTTTCTTACAATATTCCTGAATTGGATAAAAAAAAAAACCTCTCTAAGCCTTTGAGTTCAGCTACCTTTTAGTAAATAACTCCGCAAATCACCAAATTACAACATTGGTCTAGTATTCGATTAACCATTTCTACCAATACCAATATAATAGAGGATTTACTTAGACTTATTTGTACATAGGATTAGGGAGTACCCAGCATTTAGTGACTCCCATCAGTCTCAGGCAGACAGAATGAGAGTGATGGGAGTTGCAGGGTGTATTTAGTGGCTAATGGGGACATTGGACAGGTACTATGGGGTGTAGTAATAAAGTTAAATCTGGTAAAGAACGTGTTAAAGGACAGCTTTTATCTGCTCAAGGTGGAGCTGTTACATAGGTATCTTTTGTAGTTTAGAATGCAATGCCAGTGGGAGGTATGTACTAAACATCTTTCCTCCCTCCACCTACAGCCCCAGGCACAGAGGGAGGGGTGACTTTATTCACGGAAATCAGGGATCTCCTGGAGACAGAACACAGGGAACAGGGGACTCAGTTACCATACCTGAGGGTAGGAAATTCACTGCAGAACTCTGGATTGATGGAAACTTGCCATACCTGCCTCACCTGGAGGTCTCCTGCTACCTGGACAGAGAGGTAGCTCACCTGGGCGGAGCCATCAGTGTGACCTGAATACCTGGAGAGACCAGGATCTTACACTTTCACACAGTAATACATAATCCAGCCAAGGACTATGTCAGAGAACACAGGTATATCATCACTCTGATACAGGGAACCCACCTGGCTGGAGAGGTAGCTCACCTGGGCGGAACCATCAGTGTGACCTGAATACCTGGAGAGACCAGGATCTTACACTTTCACACAGTAATACATAATCCAGCCAAGGACTATGTCAGAGAACACAGGTATATCATCACTCTGATACAGGGAACCCACCTGGCTGGAGAGGTAGCTCACCTGGGCGGAACCATCAGTGTGACCTGAATACCTGGAGAGACCAGGATCTTACACTTTCACACAGTAATACATAATCCAGCCAAGGACTATGTCAGAGAACACAGGTATATCATCACTCTGATACAGGGAACCCACCTGGCTGGAGAGGTAGCTCACCTGGGCGGAACCATCAGTGTGACCTGAATACCTGGAGAGACCAGGATCTTACACTTTCACACAGTAATACATAATCCAGCCAAGGACTATGTCAGAGAACACAGGTATATCATCACTCTGATACAGGGAACCCACCTGGCTGGAGAGGTACACCGGATTTAGAGGAGGTTTATGTGAGCGGGCACTCACTAACCTCAGAAAATGCAGGTAAGTGTCACTGGACAAGTACTGATTAATAATACAGTTAATGTGGCAGACGGCTTGATACATTGTGAGCTCTCTCGATTTATCACAGGGGAACATAACATGGGAGACTCTCTTCCCATTTACTAATCAATCACTAATGGGATCAATCACTAATAGGATCAATACTGGCTGCTGCAGTTGCGATAGAAATACACGTTGACACAACTGCAAGCCCCTCAGGCATACAGTGCAACACACCTATATATTCAGCAACACCTCTATAAATACACACATGGACTTATAGCAGCACACAATCATAAGATGTTAAACAATACAATAAATAACAATAACTGGGCATCTTCCATCTGTAACTATTATTATTATTATTACTTGTCAGAGAGTTACATCATACTATGATATTGGCGATTTATGCAATAAATGGTGACAACGTATAGTGATTGCTACATCATCCTAGACTATAAAGTATTCCCACACAGTACATGGTGCAAATGTATTTTAACCCCTTCACACCCAACAAATGACTCTCAGAGAAGTAATTTTGTGTTATGAAAAAAGTGCGATCTATGAATACTGACTTTAAAAATATACATAACTTTTCATGTTAAAAAACATAATTTTTTATTTAAATGCTAAAGTTTCTGGCAGGATAAACTATATGTTGAAATGTTGAATGACGTCCCGTGTTGTTGATATTCTGGATTATAATAACAATGAGAGTGTGAGTTTATTACATAGTTAATAATAATGCATTGCACTACATATAGATTACACACAATACAAGATTTATCAAAGTGTTGCCCACGTGTTTGTTTGTAATGTTTTGCTAATTTAAAAACTTTGGGTCGTTTCATATATTGCTTTGTTTGTGTATCCATCATTTTTGAATGCATGTCCTACGTATGGCGATGCAACTGAGTAATCAATGTTTCACCATTAGCAATATGGCTGTTTTCATGAATACAATGCAAATAATAATGTAACCATCCTACACCTTATCTCTAGGGTCTCAGACACATTAATAAAAGTACATAAACAATAAGAAATCGGGTTACAAGCACAATTCAAACCATCTGATAATTGGATATTTACAAACAGAAAATGTTTATGAAATGGTGGAGTTTTCCCCCCGTTAAATATTGACCTATGTATTGTAAACCGAATTGCTAAATTACACATTAAGCTGATTTAGAATCATTTCAGCATCTTGCCTATTCAGCTTGATTTTATATTCACAGCAATTTGTTGTTTAGTGGATAAACCCCAGTATTTTATGTAGCGATGATCACTGGGATATGTAAAGGAATGTCGGGAAGCAGCGCTTTCAAATGAAGTCACTTTTCTGGAGCTAAAGATCACCTCCAGATCACTGGGCCTGGACGGTACAATCCCGTCTGTGGATTAAATGCTGCCCTGTGATTGACCACCTGCTGTGGGAGCCAGCGAGTCTATCTACTACAGGGATGGGCTGTGTTGATGTAACCAGAGGTGGCTCTGAGGGGACAGGGGGTCCAACCAAGATAACCTTTTGTTGTCATTGTGTATTGGCACAGGGGGAGGTGGTAACTAGTGTTAGGAATCGCTTTGTAGCTTTGTAGTTGTTTTCCTATTGGTGAGTGTTTTGTGTAACGTTTGTTTTACTGAATCTTACAATCTTTGTAAACAATAAACAGTCAGAGTCTGAAGAGTTGTCTCTTCCTTGAGGTCTCACAAGATATGGCTATTCATTGTCCTCTATAGCAGTGTTCCCCAACCCAGTCCTAATGGACCACCAACAGTCCAGGATTTGTGTATTTCCCTGTTTTATTCCAATGGAGATACTGACAAAACCTGGACTGTTGGTGGTCCATGGGTTGGGGAGCACTGCTCTATAGAGTAATTACTAATAAGACTGGATGGATAGAATATCACATAGTAACCAGATATCAGCTCAGTATTTCCTGCGTACACTACGCATTTAGTGGAGCAGTTATGTAAAAAGAATCCCCACGGACGATGTATTAAGGCTATATCGTCACAAGGTGTCTTTAGGCCAGTAGTTGGCGTCAGCCACAGTAGCAGAAGTTTTAGATTTATAGAATAACAATACACTGATTGGGAATACTTCTACTGTGGCTGACGCCAACTACTGGCCTAAAGACACCTCTTCTTATAAGACCAGGACCATCTACACATCCACAGACGGGGATTGGACTGTCCAGACGCAGTGACTTCATTTACGACCAGAAGGAAGAGACTCTGGTTTGAAAAGTTAAAGCTGCTACATATACAACGAGAAAGCCGAAGAAATCCTTTTAATTTTTTTATTTTACATTTGATCACTGGGATACGAGACACTGTAGGCACCAAAACAACTTTAGCTTAATTAAGTGGTTTTGGTGTTATTATCACTCTGCTGTCTAAATGCACCTTATGGCACAGTGTGTTTGATTTAGAAAGCTCTGTTTATTGCCTGCTAGAGTTCGCAACTGCCTCCTGTATGTGTGATTAGAGTTCAGTTAACAGAACAGGGCATACAAACTTCTAAAGTAAACTCACTGTGCTGTAAAATGAAACCATGGCATTTTTATGTTGGCTGTGTGAGTCATAGTCAGGGGATGTGTGGCTTAAGCTGCATAAATAAATAAAAACTAATTCTTAAATGGCAGAGCAATAAGCAGTAAAACTACAGGGGTATGATCTATGCACCAAAACCACTGCAGTAACATTTCTAATTGGGAACTGGCTAATCTAAGTAATACCAGACCTGATCCTCAGGGATGGTATTTCCTATGTTTATCTGAATCTCCAAATCTCGGCTCCATGTAGTCATTTCACATTCAGAGATTGCAGACTGCAGTACTATAAAGCATATTGCATTACTTAGAAATAATAATGGCGCTATAGACTAGACTTGCACACAGCAGGAGTTTTTTGGTTCGGCTTAATAGTTGTTCCCTGGATATGGGACGCCTGTTCATGTGAAAGTCGTTAATGGAAAATGATTCAGGTGAACAAAAAATGATGTGAAACTGAGCTAATTGGTAAACTACACAATTTACACAAAATATAAATATTATGGCACATTTTTTCCCCCGCATTTGGTTCACAGATCAAATAGAGGGTAAAAATAGGAGTAATAAATTCTACAATGAGATTACCAACATATAGGGCGTGCGTATAATATACATATAGAGATTACCAACATATAGTGCGTGTGTATAATATACATATAGCGATTACCAACATATAGTGCGTGTGTATAATATACATATAGCGATTACCAACATATAGTGCGTGTGTATAATATACATATAGAGATTACCAACATATAGTGCGTGTGTATAATATACATATAGCGATTACCAACATATAGTGCGTGTGTATAATATACATATAGCGATTACCAACATATAGTGCGTGTGTATAATATACATATAGCGATTACCAACATATAGTGCGTGTGTATAATATACATATAGAGATTACCAACATATAGTGCGTGTGTATAATATACATATAGAGATTACCAACATATAGTGCGTGTGTATAATATACATATAGAGATTACCAACATATAGTGCGTGTGTATAATATACATATAGAGATTACCAACATATAGTGCGTGTGTATAATATACATATAGCGATTACCAACATATAGTGCGTGCGTATAATATACATATAGAGATTACCAACATATAGTGCGTGCGTATAATATACATATAGCGATTACCAACATATAGTGCGTGTGTATAATATACATATAGCGATTACCAACATATAGTGCGTGTGTATAATAAACATATAGCGATTACCAACATATAGTGCGTGTGTATAATATACATATAGCGATTACCAACATATAGTGAGTGTGTATAATAAACATATAGCGATTACCAACATATAGTGCGTGTGTATAATAAACATATAGAGATTACCAACATATAGTGCGTGTGTATAATATACATATAGAGATTACCAACATATAGTGTGTGTGTGTGTGTGTGTGTATAATATACATATAGCGATTACCAACATATAGTGCGTGTGTATAATAAACATATAGAGATTACCAACATATAGTGCGTGTGTATAATATACATATAGAGATTACCAACATATAGTGCGTGCGTATAATATACATATAGAGATTACCAACATATAGTGCGTGTGTATAATATACATATAGCGATTACCAACATATAGTGCGTGTGTATAATAAACATATAGAGATTACCAACATATAGTGCGTGCGTATAATAAACATATAGAGATTACCAACATATAGTGCGTGCGTATAATAAACATATAGTGCGTGTGTATAATATACATATAGAGATTACCAACATATAGTGCGTGTGTATAATATACATATAGCGATTACCAACATATAGTGCGTGTGTATAATATACATATAGAGATTACCAACATATAGTGCGTGTGTATAATAAACATATAGAGATTACCAACATATAGTGCGTGTGTATAATAAACATATAGCGATTACCAACATATAGTACGTGTGTATAATATACATATAGCGATTACCAACATATAGTGCGTGTGTATAATATACATATAGAGATTACCAACATATAGTGCGTGCGTATAATATACATATAGAGATTACCAACATATAGTGCGTGTGTATAATAAACATATAGCGATTACCAACATATAGTCGCGTGTGTATAATATACATATAGCGTTACCAACATATAGTCGTGTATAATATACATATAGAGATTACCAACATATAGTGCGTGCGTATAATATACATATAGAGATTACCAACATATAGTGCGTGCGTATAATATACATATAGAGATTACCAACATATAGTGCGTGTGTATAATATACATATAGCGATTACCAACATATAGTGCGTGTGTATAATAAACATATAGAGATTACCAACATATAGTGCGTGCGTATAATAAACATATAGAGATTACCAACATATAGTGCGTGCGTATAATAAACATATAGTGCGTGTGTATAATATACATATAGAGATTACCAACATATAGTGCGTGTGTATAATATACATATAGCGATTACCAACATATAGTGCGTGTGTATAATATACATATAGAGATTACCAACATATAGTGCGTGTGTATAATAAACATATAGTGCGTGTGTATAATATACATATAGCGATTACCAACATATAGTGCGTGTGTATAATATACATATAGCGATTACCAACATATAGTGCGTGTGTATAATATACATATAGCGATTACCAACATATAGTGCGTGTGTATAATATACATATAGCGATTACCAACATATAGTGCGTGCGTATAATATACATATAGAGATTACCAACATATAGTGCGTGTGTATAATATACATATAGAGATTACCAACATATAGTGCGTGTGTATAATATACATATAGCGATTACCAACATATAGGGCGTGCGTATAATATACATATAGAGATTACCAACATATAGTGCGTGCGTATAATAAACATATAGCGATTACCAACATATAGTGCGTGTGTATAATATACATATAGAGATTACCAACATATAGTGCGTGTGTATAATATACATATAGAGATTACCAACATATAGTGCGTGTGTATAATATACATATAGAGATTACCAACATATAGTGCGTGCGTATAATATACATATAGAGATTACCAACATATAGTGCGTGCGTATAATATACATATAGAGATTACCAACATATAGTGCGTGTGTATAATATACATATAGCGATTACCAACATATAGTGCGTGTGTATAATAAACATATAGAGATTACCAACATATAGTGCGTGTGTATAATATACATATAGAGATTACCAACATATAGTGCGTGTGTATAATATACATATATCGATTACCAACATATAGTGCGTGTGTATAATAAACATATAGAGATTACCAACATATAGTGCGTGTGTATAATAAACATATAGCGATTACCAACATATAGTACGTGTGTATAATATACATATAGCGATTACCAACATATAGTGCGTGTGTATAATATACATATAGAGATTACCAACATATAGTGCGTGCGTATAATATACATATAGAGATTACCAACATATAGTGCGTGTGTATAATAAACATATAGAGATTACCAACATATAGTGCGTGTGTATAATATACATATAGCGATTACCAACATATAGTGCGTGTGTATAATATACATATAGCGATTACCAACATATAGTGCGTGTGTATAATAAACATATAGCGATTACCAACATATAGTGCGTGTGTATAATATACATATAGAGATTACCAACATATAGTGCGTGTGTATAATATACATATAGCGATTACCAACATATAGTGCGTGTGTATAATATACATATAGCGATTACCAACATATAGTGCGTGTGTATAATATACATATAGCGATTACCAACATATAGTGCGTGTGTATAATATACATATAGAGATTACCAACATATAGTGCGTGTGTATAATATACATATAGCGATTACCAACATATAGTGCGTGTGTATAATAAACATATAGCGATTACCAACATATAGTGCGTGTGTATAATATACATATAGAGATTACCAACATATAGTGCGTGTGTATAATATACATATAGAGATTACCAACATATAGTGCGTGTGTATAATATACATATAGAGATTACCAACATATAGTGCGTGCGTATAATATACATATAGAGATTACCAACATATAGTGCGTGCGTATAATATACATATAGCGATTACCAACATATAGTGCGTGTGTATAATATACATATAGCGATTACCAACATATAGTGCGTGTGTATAATATACATATAGAGATTACGAACATATAGTGCGTGTGTATAATATACATATACAGAGAGAGAGAGATATTACTCCCCCCCCCCTGTGGCGAAACCAACCTCGCCACTGTGAACTGGAGAAGCCTGGTTGCTCGCCTGCTCCCTTTGGACTATGGCCCTGCAGGTTAAACCGTTTATTTCCCCTGCAGAAAGGCTTATTTGTGTGATCTGAGTGCCATTCATCTAATAATGTGCACTCAGATCCGAGCTATCTGGGGATATGTGAAATGTCTGTGTGTTATGTGTAAATGTGACTTTATGTATTTTAAAGTGTTTTGTGTCTTTTTGCAACCATGTGCTTAATGGAGTCTTGTGTCTGTCCTGGGAGATAATTGAATTACTTATCTCCAGGATAGAAGACTCTGAAACTGGTTTGGGCCAGAAAGCCATGCTTCATTTAGTCACAAAGGACTTTTTACTAACTTTTGAACCCCTTGTCTGATTTGTGCCATTTTTGAATATGTTGTTCCCCTGAATGGATTGATTGTGAATATGTAATTTTATGTGAATGTGATGTATGGTTTTGAGTTATGAAAGTTGGGTAGAAAGTATGTTTTAACTGTATGTATAATTGAGTTTCCTCTCAGGATAAAGGGAGGGAATATGTGGGATGTAACTGTGATGTGATTGGTTGTTTTGTAACGCCCTGTGGGCTGTACTATGTTTGTGGATTGGGAATAAAAGAGACTGTATGTGACAGTACAGAGAGTTCCTGTTTTAACCCTCAAAGTGAAGTGTTGTCTCATTATTGGGGGAAGGATTTATTGTATGCTGTTCCAGTTTGACTGCTAGGAGAGTAAACCTATTCGTATGGTTCCTATTCAACTGTCTACAGCATTCATATGCTTGGGAGAATTTATTTGTTTCTCCGGCTCGGTGATTGTGGTGTCTGCCAGAGTGCTTGGAGTCCTCAGGAAGCGCTAGGAGCATCTTTCAACTGAGGTACCCAGTCGGGGTGCCAGGTGATCCGTTACACCCCCTTTTGGATATTTCTCAATTAGTTTTTGAATATAATCATTTATTTGTTCTCCCACAACCATCAAACTTAGTTTTCAGTGACTGGTGGACTTCATAAACCTGAAGCATCCAACGTCTTCAGGGATCACTTGTTGTTATTATTATTATTATTATTATTATTATTGCCATTTATATAGCGCCAACAGATTCCGTAGCGCTTTACAATATTATGAAAGGGGATTTAACTATAAATAGGACAATTACAAATAAACTTACAGGAACAATAGGTTGAAGAGGACCCTGCTCAATCGAGCTTACATTCTATAGGAGGTGGGGTGTAAGACACATTAGGACAGGAATGTGCAATCAAAAAAGGTGGGCTGCCCTTTAGGAGAGGGCAAGAGACGGGTATGTGAGGTAGGGGTTAGTCTTGGAGGCCATAAGCTTTCCTAAAGAGATGGGTTTTAAGGCACTTCTTAAAAGATGCAAGACTAGGGGAGAGTCGGATGGCGGTAGGCAGGCTATTCCATAGGAAGGGAGCCGCCCGCGAGAAGTCCTGCAAGCGCGAGTTGGCCGTACGGGTGCGGACAAAGGACAGGAGGTGGTCACGGGCAGAGCGGAGAGACCGAGAAGGGACATACCTGTGGATCAGTGAGGAGATATAAGAGGGGCTAGAGTTGTTCAGTGCTTTATAGGTGTGAGTTAGTGCCTTGAATTGACTCCTATAGCACACAGGAAGCCAATGTAAGGACTGGCAGAGGGGTGAGGTGTGAGAGAACCGACTAGAGAGGAAAATCAGTCTGGCAGCAGCGTTCATTACAGACTGTAGGGGTGCAGTACGGCTTTTGGGAAGACCAAGCAGGAGAGGGTTACAATAATCCATGCGGGAAATTATTAGAGCATGGACAAGCTCCTTGGTAGTATCTGGTGCAAGAAAGGGGCGGATGCGGGCTATGTTTTTAAGATGGAATCTACAGGATTTGGCAACATGCTGGATGTGAGGCTCAAAGGTGAGACCAGAGTCAAGTATGACGCCAAGACAGCGCGCTTGCAAGGATGGGCTGATGTTGGTACCACAAACTTGAAGGGAGAGCGAAAGAGGAGGATCAGTATTAGGAGGAGGAAAGACAAGGAGCTCAGTTTTTGAGAGATTGAGTTTCAGAAAGCGGGAGGACATCCAGTCAGAGATGGAAGAAAGGCAAGCAGTGACACGTTGCAGGACAGCAGGGGAGAGGTCTGGGGAGGAGAGATATAGCTGGGTGTCATCAGCGTACAGGTGGTAGTGGAAACCAAATGAGGTAATAAGTTTGCCAAGAGAGGCAGTATAAAGAGAAAATAGAAGGGGAACAAGGACGGAGCCTTGGGGGACTCCAACCGAGACAGGGCGAGGGGAGGAGGTATCATTAGAAAAAGAGACACTGAATGAGCGTTGGGAGAGATAAGAGGAAAACCACGAGAGGACAGAGTCACAGAGACCAAGCGATTGCAGAGTTTGAAGAAGGAGAGCATGATCAACGGTGTCAAAGGCCGCTGAGAGGTCAAGAAGAATTAGTATGGAGTAGTGGCCTTTGGATTTAGCTGCGATTAGGTCGTTAGTAACTTTGATAAGGGCAGTCTCTGTAGAGTGGAGAGGGCGGAAGCCAGATTGAAGGGGGTCAAGGAGAGAGTTGGAATTGAGGAAATGAGACACACGGGTAAAGACGAGTCTTTCCAGAAGCTTTGAGGAAAAAGGGAGCAGGGATATGGGACGGTAGTTAGAGGGGGTGGATGGGTCAAGGGATGTTTTTTTTAGTATAGGTACTACAGTGGCATGTTTAAGGTCAGCAGGGACGATGCCAGAAGAGAGCGAGCAGTTGAAGATGTGTGTTAGAGAAGGCACGAGACAAGTGGAGAGAGATCTGATAAGGTGAGACGGGACAGGATCGAGCGGGCAAGTGGTGGGGCGAGAGGAGCAAAGAAGAGCAGCCACCTCTTGGTCAGTGGCTGGGGAGAATGTCTGAAGGGTAGGAAAGGCATGATCAATGTGTGATTGAGAAACAGAAAGGCAAGGAGGGGAGAATTCTTTCCTTAGCTGTTCAATTTTGTCAGTGAAGTAACATGCAAAGTTATTAGCAGTAAGGTTGGTTTGGGGGGTGGCCACAGCGGGGCGAAGAAGAGAATTAAAGGTGTCAAAGAGACGCCTGGGGTTGCGGGAACATGAACTAATGAGAGAGGAAAAATAGGACTGTTTGGCAAGGGCAAGGGCTGCACTGTATAAACACAGTATGAATCTATAATGGAGAAAGTCTGACTGGGTGCGAGACTTCCTCCAGGAGCGTTCAGCACACCGGGAGCATCTTTGCAGGTAGCGCGTTGATTTAGTATGCCATGGTTGGGGGCGGGTCCTCCTTGACGTGCTAGTTTGGAGTGGCACTGCAGTTTTCAAGGCAGATGTAAGAGTAGAGTTATATATGGAGATGGCCAGTGAAGGACAGGATAGGGAAGGGATGGACAGCAGTTGTGAATCAATGTCAGCTGACAACTGTTGGAGATCAAGAGAAGGATATGTCTTTTGTTAAGTTTTTGTCGGCCTGACAAAATACAGAATTCGTCCTACAGCCTGTCAGCCCAAATTCGGATAAATCTCAGTTCAGAGGAAACAAGTGAATGCAACTCCTTAATGTACACTTTACCTTTACCCCACCCATAGATTCCATCTCATTCTGTCCATATTCAAAGAGACAGGAGGGTCCGTTCCCCTGTTAAGGTTTTATTTTTATTTTCCTCTGACATTTGGTTTCCTTATACTTCATTTCCGGTGACCCGTGCGTGTAGTTTCAGAATGTAGCTAAAAAGAATTACATTTCTGACATTCTGCCACAGAGTTAGAAGCTGTAGTACTGTCTAAAAGTACCATGATGTACAGTGTATCAAAAGACGGTTATAAACAGAAGTATTTTTATTAGTATTTATATAGTGCCAAGGTATTCACAGTTACAGGAAGGGGATGCTTAGAGCTTCTCAAATGAATTTACAATCTATGAGATTATGCGATAGGCGGATATACCTGTACAGGCAACTCCTCACCTACCGACCAGGTTCCGTTCTTATGACTTGGTTGTAAAATGAATTGATAGGTAAGTGAGGATGCGGAATTTCCCCGAACCTAGACAAGCGCAGCAGAGCAGGAAATCCCGCAAATCTATGTTCGGTGAGACCAGCTCTCTAATGTGGGGAATCCCATTCACACCTGTTTTCTCTACAAAGGGTCATTATCTGGGAAAAAAAACATTTTTCGCCCAACAACCATTATGGTCATATTTTTTCCCACCATTCTGTCATTCTCCAGGTTTCACATTCACTTTCCTCCTCTCTAATCTTATTTATACATTCCAGGGATATTTTTATCCTCCTATTATTGTTTCTTATCTATTCTCCAGCTGTTCCTAATCTCCCAGGTACTTTTATCCCTCTAATCCCTATGTTTTATCTCTGTCTCCTATTCTCACCCACAACGGTTCTTGTCCCTCCTTTTATTTAATTCCCCTTCTTTCATTCTGTGCCCCCCTTTCTATATACCAATATCTCCTTCAAACTGATTAGCTGCCCCTAATGTGTGGCAATATGGTGTATGACAAGGTGAGGGTGACATGATGTGTGGCAATATGGGGTGGTGTATGACAAGGTGAGGGGTGGTGAAGGTTACAGGATGTGTAACAAGGTGAGGGTGAGTGTGATGGGGTGTGTCACAGTGTGGGGTGGTGGGTGACATGATGTGTGGCAATATGGGGTGGTGTATGACAAGGTGAGGGGTGGTGAAGGTTACAGGATGTGTAACAAGGTGAGGGTGAGTGTGATGGGGTGTGTCACAGTGTGGGGTGGTGGGTGACATGATGTGTGGCAATATGGGGTGGTGTATGACAAGGTGAGGGGTGGTGAAGGTTACAAGATGTGTAACAAGGTGAGGGTGAGTGTGATGGGGTGTGTGGCAGTATGGGGTGGTGTATGACAAGGTGAGGGGTGGTGAAGGTTACAGGATGTGTAACAAGGTGAGGGTGAGTGTGATGGGGTGTGTCGCAGTATGGGGTGGTGTGTGACAAGGTGAGGGTGACATGATGTGTGGCAATATGGGGTGGTGTATGACAAGGTGAGGGGTGGTGAAGGTTACAGGATGTGTAACAAGGTGAGGGTGAGTGTGATGGGGTGTGTCGCAGTATGGGGTGGTGTGTGACAAGGTGAGGGTGACATGATGTGTGGCAGTATTGGGTGGTGAGTGACAGGGTGTGTGGCAGTATGGTAGTTGGTGGCGTGTGACAGGGTGAGGGGTGGCGAGTGTGACAAGGTTGGGGGAGTGAGTGAGGAGGTGACAGTGTATAGGGGCTGAGGGTTTGTGGGGAAGTGAAAGTATGTGGAGGGGCTTGGTGGTCCAGTGGACTTCCTGGTAGCCAAGTAGATTCCCTGGTAGTCTAATGGACTGCTGGTGCAGCTGCCGGCCTTCCAGTCTCGCCCTCGGTGAGAATGTCCGAGCGCAGTCTTGCAAACCCGGTTCCTGCACTCTGACTCCATCACAGAGCGCTGGAAATGCAGGAGAAAGGAATTACCCCACAGACCAACAGGGAGTCATTTCAATGGGTGTGTTAGAGAGCATATATTCTACCCACTCCGAGCCACATTTTAGTGGCCTTTATTGCTAGAATTTACTGTGTTACTAGACTAAGGGAGACCACCTGATTTTAGTGGTACTCCTACATATACAATGGTACTGGGATTTTTATGTTCACAAAGAACTACTGAGATATATAGTGATGGTACTTGCACACTTGTCAGATATGTAAGTACTCGACCAAGGATAATCTGTGTACAGACTATGTAATTCTAAAACACAGTAGTAGTACATAGTAATTCTGATATTTGGAACTGGGATGGAAAGCTAAAAGTTGTACAAGATATTGCATGGAATACATGAGATACAATACAGCTACATTCTATACTGATGCTAATGGCATATTTTTCCTCTTATAGCAACCAGCGACCCCTTGGCGGGAGGATTTGCAGCTGTTGGATCCATTTGAATACATGGTGAGTTTCATTGTGTCAGCCCTGATTGAAGAGTTCTTTAAAACCATGTGTTTTAACCCAGTAGGTAAAACGCCACCACCAATGGTCCAGGTTTATGCTTCATCCACATTGCAACCAAACTGAGAATTGCCTAAATCCCAGTCTGATGGCGGGCACGAGGGCCGGGTTGGGAATTCCTGCTCTGAAAGATTTGGGGATTATTTAGAATGTTGTCGTTGAATAATCCGTAACTTCTCATTACCGTGCCTGTTGCTACCTCCATAGAGAAGCCAGCGGCAGTTTTACCAACTGCAAAATGTCACAAGTAGCGATTGGAATCTGACAGCTGCCGCTGCTGAAAGCCAGTAACGACTAACTGCTCTCAATATTCTTAGTGGGAGTTTAGGTAAAGTGTCCCTTTACTGGCTACCACTAACACAACACGAGTCTCAGGCCTGCTTGAAATTGGGTGATGACCAATTGCTATATATCCTCTAAAAACATCTCCTTCCAACCATGACACTGTATTTTACTGGCCAGCTGCTGCTTGCATTATGCTATGAGCCACAAGGGATGATATAGGAACGCACAATAATGTGGGATCTGTATGCGTTTTTACTAGAACAATACCATACCCTCCTCTCTTTCCGAAGTAGTGGAGACAGGGAGTGGTGCTCGGTTCCCCCAGGTAAGAAATCATACTACTTACAATGATTGGAGAGGAGCCAGGACACTCATGACACCATAACCACTACAAGGTACCATAGTGGTTATGGTGCTTGGAGTGTTCTCTTAAACAAATCTGGTACATAAAAATAAAGTATATTTTAATTTTATTTGATATATATAATGTTATATATGTAAGTGAGTAAGTCAGGGATTTAGTATTTTGGGATCATAAACTAATTTATGCACATTTTGTCTACTAATCACAAAGGTATGATTTCATATTACCTCAAGTTTAGTCTACAGAAACCAGAAATGTCATTTTATCTGTATACGTGTCTGTCTGTCTCTGTCTTGATCCATATGTTAATTTAATTTGTCTAAATTTCCATGAACTGTTGTTTCTGCAATCCTATGAGTTACAAAATTTAAAAATCTGTCAGTCATTGCCCCACAGTGACTGATTAACCTACAGATGACAAATCTATTTCTACTGCTGTGAGTTTTGTGCCATTATTAGCTTTGAGGCAAATAAGGTATTTTACTTCGGAAAGGAGCGCCCAACTGCCTAGAGCGCTAAGCACAAAATGGTGGTGAAATATGAGATCAGAGCGTGCAAGCGTACAAAGTACAGTAGCTTGTGTCTCCTGTAAATGTTTGTATAAAAATAGTCATAAAACACCATATTTTATCAATATATTTACAACAGGATGTTCCAAAGTACAGCAAGTAATAAATCGTTATTATTTCTGATTATTTCTGAGATAAATGGTCACAGCTATTTTTTTATGGTACTTCGCGGACATAATCTGGAGAGGGGCACTCCTTTTTTATGAGAACTGGCTAATGGTGTCCATGGTAATGGTGACATTAGGCACTGGGACATTTTTAAAAGTGAGCTTGGAATTAATTATATAAATGACAATTAACACACAACCAACATATCTGGCTCAGTTGGTAAATTCCCTGACTACAAAGCCTGTTCAACAATGCAAAGTCACTGGTTCAAATCCCAGGGTCAACTCAGCCCTTCATCCTTCCGAGGTCGATCAGTTGGGTAATAACACGTATTATTCAGCCCATTTGGTTAATTTTGAGTCCCTCTGGGAGAATGGTGCTATATAAATACTAGTTATTATTACCAGGATCTTGTTTGTGCACTCTAATTTGAAATACATTTATTGTGAAATAAAAAGAGGAGGGGGTTATATTGCTAAAAAAAGGAACAGGGGATTTCAGACCAATATAGGGGCTGTCTCTCCTACAGAGGGACACTTGGAAAGTATGGATCTGTAGAAATGACCTCCCAGTTCTACTAAAGTCCCATGATTACAAGCATATAGCAATTTGCTCAGGCAAGATTTGCATTTTAGATTTGACCATTTCAGTTGGGGAGCCATTTCACCTTTAGTTGCTGATTTTAACCCTGCGGAGACGTGGACAGTAGAAGTAGAAACAGGATTGATGCTCTAAACAAAGCAGTCCCAAAGAAGCTGGAGTAAACTGAGCCCCTTTGTATTTGCACCAATGTTGCCAGGTGTGCAAGAAGATGGGACTATCTGCAGAGAGATTAGCTCCAGGGCCGATGGAATTTAATTATCATGCAGGAAAAACGTTTACTGAATATATCGATTTAATGCAAAATCTGAAATGGATCCAAATAATGTGATGATAAAATAAAAAGCCACTAAAAGCGATGTTTACTGGACTAACCCGATATTTGTGTGAGTGGTCACCGTGATACATTGCTTCGTAGAATAAATCGATCTGCGCTTGGTATCAGCTGGCGACATCACTAGTGGGAGAATCGAAACTAATTTGTAATCTGGATCAATAAATTGCTGGAATCTCCTCTGTTAAAACACCCGTAGCATTTTAGCTTGTGGTTTTCCCTTTTTTTTTTTTGGGTGTAGTTTAGTTTTTGGTTATTAATTCTATTCAGGTCAGATTCACTTTAAAAGTGCATTAAACATATAATTCTTCTTCATACCAAAAGTAAACTGAAAGTTCATTGCGGGTGACACCCAGATTCTTTGGCCACTTTACAAATCTTGTGCGAGCGGATTCTTGCAAATCAGGTTTAACCCCTTAAGGACACGTGACATGTGTGACAAGTCATGATTCCCTTTTATTCCAGAAGTTTGGTCATTAAGGGGTTAAAGGTTTGTTACTGACGTTAATGGTCTACGCTAGAACTACAAGGGTACGTTTACATTTCCACACAATGATCATCAATAGCCCAAGCAGTAATGGTGATCCATCGGGGGATTATGGGAAATGGGTGTGTGTTGGAATGTGCGTAAAGTGTATGTAGCTGTATAAACAGCCACCTGTGTCACTAAAGCTGCAGGATTAGCAAAATGTGAACAAGTCCTGCAAAAAAAAAAAAAAAACACCTCTGAAATGACCTTAAAACGTGCGTGGCTTTTATGGGAAATTACGGCTGATTTGCTTTATGAATGTTCAGAACACAGAGATGGGAATAGTTTTACCTAATATTCACTTTGTTGCTTTGTATATTTTATGTTACAGTGTATATATTGTGTATATTTTATATTACATTATATATTGAGTATATTTTATATTACATGATATATAGTGTATATTTTATGTTACATTATATATATATATATTGAGTATATTTTATATTACATTATATATATATATATATATATATAGAGTATATTTTATGTTACAGTGTATATATTGTGTATATTTTATGTTACATTATATATAGAGTATATTTTATATTACATTATATATATATTGAGTATATTTTATATTACATTATATATATTGAGTATATATTATGTTGCATTATATATTGAGTATATTTTATGTTATATATATATATATTGAGTATATTTTATGTTACATTATATATATATTGAGTATATTTTATATTACATTATATATTGTGTATATTTTATATTTTTGTTATATATATATTGTGTATATTTTATGTTACATTATATATTGAGTATATTTTATATTACATGATATATATAGGGTATATTTTATATTACATTATATATATTGAGTATATTTTATGTTGTATTATATATAGAGTATATTTTATATTACATGATATATATATTGTGTATATTTTATATTACATTATATATTGAGTATATTTTATATTACATTATATATATTGAGTATATTTTATGTTGCATTATATATTGAGTATATTTTATGTTGCATTATATATTGAGTATATTTTATGTTACATTATATATATTGAGTATATTTTATATTACATAGTATATATTGTGTATATTTTGTTGCTTTATATATATATTGAGTATATTTTATGTTACATTATATATATTGTGTATATTTTATGTTACAGTGTATATATTGAGTATATTTTATGTTACATTATATATATTGTGTATATTTTATGTTACATAGTATACATTGAGTATATTTTATATTACATTATATATATTGTGTATATTTTATATTACATTATATATTGAGTATATTTTATGTTATATATAAATATTGTGTATATTTTATGTTACATTATATATATATTGAGTATATTTTATGTTGCATTATATATATATTGAGTATATTTTATGTTACATAGTATATATTGAGTATATTTTATGTTACATTATATATAGAGTATATTTTATATTACATAGTATATGTTGAGTATATTTTATATTACATTATATATTGTGTATATTTTATATTTTTATGTTATATATATTGTGTATATTTTATGTTACATTATATATTGAGTATATTTTATATTACATGATATATATAGTGTATATTTTATGTTACATTATATATATATATTGAGTATATTTTATGTTGCATTATATATTGAGTATATTTTATATTACATTATATATTGTGTATATTTTATATTTTTATGTTATATATATATATTGTGTATATTTTATGTTACATTATATATTGAGTATATTTTATATTACATGATATATAGTGTATATTTTATGTTACATTATATATATATATATATATATTGAGTATATTTTATGTTACAGTGTATATATTGTGTATATTTTATGTTGCATTATATATAGAGTATATTTTATATTACATTATATATTGAGTATATTTTATATTACATTATATATATTGAGTATATTTTATGTTGCATTATATATTGAGTATATTTTATGTTGCATTATATATTGAGTATATTTTATATTACATTATATATTGAGTATATTTTATGTTATATATATATATTGAGTATATTTTGTTACATTATATATATAGAGTATATTTTATATTACATTATATATTGTGTATATTTTATATTACATGATATATATAGGGTATATTTTATATTACATTATATATATTGAGTATATTTTATGTTGCATTATATATAGAGTATATTTTATGTTATATATATATATATATATATATATATATATAGTGTATATTTTATGTTACATTATATATTGAGTATATTTTATATTACATGATATATATATTGTGTATATTTTATATTACATTATATATTGAGTATATTTTATATTACATTATATATATTGAGTATATTTTATGTTGCATTATATATTGAGTATATTTTATGTTGCATTATATATTGAGTATATTTTATGTTACAGTGTATATATAGTGTATATTTTATGTTACATTATATATATTGAGTATATTTTATATTACATAGTATATATTGTGTATATTTTGTTGCTTTATATATATTGAGTATATTTTATATTACATTATATATATATTGTGTATATTTTATGTTACAGTGTATATATTGAGTATATTTTATGTTACATTATATATATATATATATATATATATATATATATATATATATAGAGAGAGAGAGAGAGAGAGAATATTTTATGTTACAGTGTATATATTGAGTATATTTTATGTTGCATTGAATATATAGTGTATATTTTGTTGCATTATATATAGAGTATATTTTATATTACATTATATATATATATATTGTGTATATTTTATGTTGCATTATATATATATATATATATATATATATAGTGTATATTTTATGTTATTATATATTGAGTATATTATTACATTATATATAGAGTATATTTTATATTACATAGTATATGTTGAGTATATTTTATATTACATTATATATTGAGTATATTTTATGTTATATATATATATATATATATAGTGTATATTTTATGTTACATTATATATTGAGTATATTTTATGTTATATATATATATATATTGTGTATATTTTATGTTACATTATATATATTGAGTATATTTTATGTTGCATTATACATATATATTTTATATTACATTATATATTGAGTATATTTTATATTACATTATATATTGTGTATATTTTATGTTACATTATATATAGATTATATTTTATATTACATTATATATATATAGTGTATATTTTATGTTACATTATATATATATTGTGTATATTTTATGTTACATTATATATTGTGTATATTTTATATTTTTGTTATATATTGTGTATATTTTATGTTACATTATATATTGTGTATATTTTATATTTTTATGTTATATATATTGAGTATATTTTATGTTATATATATATATATTGAGTATATTTTATGTTACATTATATATATATATATATTTTGAGTATATTTTATATTACATTATATATTGTGTATATTTTATATTTTTGTTATATATATATATTGTGTATATTTTATGTTACATTATATATTGAGTATATTTTATATTACATGATATATATAGGGTATATTTTATATTACATTATATATATTGAGTATATTTTATGTTGCATTATATATAGAGTATATTTTATGTTATATATATATATATATATATATATATATATAGTGTATATTTTATGTTACATTATATATTGAGTATATTTTATATTACATGATATATATATTGTGTATATTTTATATTACATTATATATTGAGTATATTTTATATTACATTATATATATTGAGTATATTTTATGTTGCATTATATATTGAGTATATTTTATGTTATAGTGTATATTTTATGTTACATTATATATATTGAGTATATTTTATATTACATAGTATATATTGTGTATATTTTGTTGCTTTATATATATTGAGTATATTTTATGTTACATTATATATATATTGTGTATATTTTGTTACATAGTATACATTGAGTATATTTTATATTACATTATATATATTGTGTATATTTTATGTTACAGTGTATATATTGAGTATATTTTATGTTACAATATATATATATATATATATATATATATATATATATATAGAGAGAGAGAGAGAGTATATTTTATGTTGCATTGAATATATAGTGTATATTTTGTTGCATTATATATAGAGTATATTTTATATTACATTATATATTGAGTATATTTTATATTACTTTATATATATTGAGTATATTTTATGTTGCATTATATATTGAGTATATTTTATGTTGCATTATATATTGAGTATATTTTATGTTACAGTGTATATATAGTGTATATTTTATGTTACATTATATATATTGAGTATATTTTATATTACATAGTATATATTGTGTATATTTTGTTGCTTTATATATATTGAGTATATTTTATGTTACATTATATATATTGTGTATATTTTATGTTACAGTGTATATATTGAGTATATTTTATGTTACATTATATATATATATATATATATATATATATATATATATATATAGAGAGAGAGAGAGAGAGAGAATATTTTATGTTACAGTGTATATATTGAGTATATTTTATGTTGCATTGAATATATAGTGTATATTTTGTTGCATTATATATAGAGTATATTTTATATTACATTATATATATATATATATATATATATAGTGTATATTTTATGTTATTATATATTGAGTATATTATTACATTATATATAGAGTATATTTTATATTACATAGTATATGTTGAGTATATTTTATATTACATTATATATTGAGTATATTTTATGTTATATATATATATATATATATATATATAGTGTATATTTTGTTACATTATATATTGAGTATATTTTATGTTGCATTATACATATATATTTTATATTACATTATATATTGAGTATATTTTATATTACATTATATATTGTGTATATTTTATGTTACATTATATATAGATTATATTTTATATTACATTATATATATAGTGTATATTTTATGTTACATTATATATATATAGTGTATATTTTATGTTACATTATATATATATATATTGAGTATATTTTATGTTACATTATATATATATATATATAGTGTATATTTTATGTTACATTATATATTGTGTATATTTTATATTTTTATGTTATATATATTGTGTATATTTTATGTTGCATTATATATTGAGTATATTTTATATTACATAGTATATATTGTGTATATTTTGTTGCTTTACATATATATTGTGTATATTTTATGTTACACTGTATATATTCAGTATATTTTATGTTACATTATATATATTGTGTTTATATTTTATGTTATTATATATTGAGTATATTTTATATTACATTATATATTGTGTATATTTTATGTTACATTATATATAGAGTATATTTTATATTACATTATATATATATAGAGTATATTTTATATTACATTATATATAGAGTATATTTTATATTACATTATATATAGAGTATATTTTATGTCCCTCTAGTTTTAACACTGCAGCTGAAAACATAGCAGTTTCAGAGAAACTGCTATGTTTCACTGAGGGTTAATCCAGCCTCTAGTGGCTGTCACATTGACAGCTGCTAGAGGCGCTTCCGCGATTCTCACTGTGAAAATCACAGTGAGAAGACGCTGGATGTCCATAGGAAAGCATTGAGTAATGCTTTCCTATGGGCGGTTTGAATGCGTGCACGGCTTTTGCCGTGCATGCGCATTTGGAGCTGAGAGGCGGATCGGGGGAGAGGGATCCCCAGGGCAAAGGGAGTCCGGCGCTGGAGAAAGGTAAGTGCTGCAGGGGTTTTAAACACACACACACTCTATCACGAACAGCCGCATACACACTAGCTAACAGACACACACATTTACTGACAGAGACACACTCAGTGACATACACACATACACACTCACTGACAGACACACAGATACACACTCACTTACAAAACGTACACTCTCACTGACAAACACACACTAACAGACATCAAACAGACTCACTAACAGACACACACAAACACACTCAGTAACTGACACACACAGTAACACACTCACTGACACACACAGTGACACTAGCAGACACACATTCAATAACAGACACACACAAATTAACACACACACTGACACAAAAACTAACACACACACACACACTCTAACACTAATACACATACACAAATACATGTTTTTTTTAAAATCTGATCCCCCAGCCTCCCTACCTTTTGGGAGTGCTGTGGGGATTCCCTGGAGTCCAGTGGTGTTGCTTGGCAGCCGGTCCTGCGGGTGCACGAGGGAGCACTGAGATCCTCCTGTTCAGCTTCCTCGCACGCTGCTTACTGATATGTCGTATTCCGGCTCTGGCATCAGTGCGGTGCGTGAGGGAGCTGGGCAGAGAGCGCTCAGGGGAGAGCGCCAGCCCGGTGACACCAGGGCCACCCTCGGGGGACCCTGAGGTGGCCAGCTCCTGGGCCCCCCAGGAGAAGAGGCTGGCCACACTGGCATGCATACCGGGTCACAGGACAGCCGAGCCCCCTGGTGGGCCGGGCCTGGTCGCAGCCGCGACCCCTGCGACCCCGGTATGTACGCCACTGCTTTTGGAATACATGGCAAAGCATCATGGAAGCTGTACTTTTAAAACCTCTAGGGATCTACCTTTTGGGCTCCCCTGATTTAAACAAAACACATATGATCGACATTTCGAGCCATCTGAGTCTTATCAAGCTATATAAAGGACATGTAATTTTAGCAATAAATGAGAATCACAGAGTTTGTGTCGGGTTAGAGTGACTGTTACGGGTTACTCAGTATTGTGTGACTATCCTTCCCTTTATTTCCCGACGTTCTTTCATTTTTAATTTAGAGTGATTTGTACGTTTCTATGTATACTTGTAAATAAAGTTGTTTATTGTTTTTTTGTTAGCCATTACCTTGAATGATTTATATCTTGGTGGGGTAGTATCCTTCCTATCCTAGTTAGGTGATCTCTCACCTGGGTTAAGCCCATTATTACCTCAGGGACTTGCTCTCTAATTATGGATCGGATTTACTCAGTTTTTCGTTTCAGAATCTTTTTTTTTTTTACTTTTAAAGTAAATTACATCTGATTAAAAATGAAACCATTATTTCCATGCAGGCTGTGTCAGTCATAGCCAGGGGAGGTGTGGCTAGGGCTGCATAAACAGAAACAAAGTGATTTAACTCCTAAATGACAGTGAATTGAACAGCAGAACTTCACGGACATAATCTACACAACAAACCTGCTTCATTAAGCTAAAGTTGTTTTGGTGACTAGTGTCCCTTTAATGTTGTGTTATGTAATAGACAATGTAATAGAGCAGCAGGAAATGCTAGCAGAATGCTTGGTTGTATAGGGAGAGGTATTAGCAGTAGAAAGAGGGAAGTGCTCATGCCATTGTACAGAACACTGGTGAGACCTCACTTGGAGTATTGTACACAGTACTGGAGACCGTATCTTCAGAAGGATATTGATACCTTAGAGAGGGTTCAGAGAAGGGCTACTAAACTGGTTCATGGATTGCGGGATAAAACTTACCAGGAAAGGTTAAAGGATCTTAACATGTATAGCTTGGAGGAAAGACGAGACAGGGGGGATATGATAGAAACATTTAAATATATAAAGGGAATCAACACAGTAAAGGAGGAGACTATATTTAAAAGAAGAAAAACTACCACAACAAGAGGACATAGTCTTAAATTAGAGGGACAAAGGTTTAAAAAATAATATCAGGAAGTATTACTTTACTGAGAGGGTAGTGGATGCATGGAATAGCCTTCCAGCTGAAGTGGTAGAGGTTAACACAGTAAAGGAGTTTAAGCATGCATGGGATAGGCATAAGGCTATCCTAACTATAAGATAAGGCTAGGGACTAATGAAAGTTTTTAGAAAATTGGGCAGACTAGATGGGCCGAATGGTTCTTATCTGCCGTCACATTCTATGTTTCTATGTTTCTATGTTTCTATTAAAAGGAAGCCCTTACTGTCCTTTAAAAACCATATGTAATATGTGTAGCAGAGCTGCAATACTGCGACTGAATATCTCCGATGTAATCATCTTGAGCTGGAAGGGAAGCACTGGTTAGTAGTTATAGCCCATTCCCCCAGTAACTAGATGACACATAGATCTGGGAGTCAACTGATTTTATTCTGGCCACACACGACTTTTATGCACAGACCCTTACATGGGGTCTCCTATAATAAAATACAGGGCTTTTCCTCTCAAGATCAATTGTTCCTGAGTAATAATTGCGTGAGATAAAACTATAACTTAATTATCTCTTGGGAACAGAAAAATCTACAATATTTTATTTAAACACTCCAAAAATACATTTTAATATTTCTGGACCCCACAAAGTCACTTCACTGAATAGCTTGGATCTGAGTGCACACTTTGACAAAATATCACTCAAATCCCATTCGGATGAACTTTTGACCGATTGGCGATGCCCCAAAACAGTTCCAGATTGGTTCAGCAATTTCTTTGAAGTCATATTTTGACCAACTGCACACATGGTCCAATGCCCAAAACAATTGCAGATAATCAGGGCTTTTGGTCGGTTTAGTTCTGTAGCTTAAAAATCAAACAAAATACCGAACATAGTCATTGTTCTTACCCTGGAGCTTGTTTCCCTTGTTCGTGGGAACATTTCCACTGAACAGTCTCTGAACCCCTGAACCGATCTAGTGTTGTAGAACTGAACACAGGCGATCAAGTCCAGCGGTGTTCGGGAGTGCGTCTCAAAATAGTTCCATGAACTCGACAACCAAACACCGCGGCCTGTGCGAACAAGATAGCCACCATATGAAATGCGGCCACCCAGACGAACACTCAGAACACTGCGGTGGAAATTGCTACAAAGTATCAATTTAGGCTTAACAAGCTCCTGAGTGGTCTCCGGGTTTGTGCGGCTGTTCGGTTTCCGAACCATATAGTCCAAATACACGAACTGAGACTTTTTACATTACATGTTACAGGGCCCATAGTCTGTGGGAAGGAGGCTGGCAAGCAGGGGTCTCCAGGAGCTTGTGGCAAACTCACTTGGAGAGGGGTGTTTGTCACAATCACAAACAGTGGAAACCCTTTCAAATAGCATAATCTGTAACATTAGTGTTTTAGGAGCACAATACACTGTTTGGTTTTATCATTCTTTCCTATTTATAGAAACAAAAATATTTTCGGCTACAGACTTGTCTTTGGTTTCTCGGTATATACAAAAGCCGTCATGCAAACTATTTGGTATGTTTGGGGGGGGACTGTGTAGGCACAACTCGTCATGTCAGAAAGTTTTGTATTCTGTGCTAGACGTCCTGTGACAGATGTTGCTGCGTTTACTGATTGCATCCGTTTCTCTGCTGTTAGCAGTTCAATAAAGATTTTTTTTTTTTATAAGAAAGGAGAGCCAGGACTAGCGGGAGTGCGCATAAACACACCCCCTGATTCATTCCATAATTCGTTCAGCCCTGGAGGGCCGGGGTGCAGAAGACACAATTGTCCAACCATCGTGTTCTGCACAGAAAGCTGCATGGATTCAAAGCTAAACTCGGGGCTAATAGGGTGATCCGTCATAGAAATCATGTGCATAGATCAAGTTAATATTTTAGAGCATCCATCTTATTTATTCTTTTAAATGTGTTTTTCAGAACTGTCATCAGAAATCTTGGGTCCCCTTACAAAACAAGTGAATGGGGGTCTCCAAACAAATAAACATACACACCACGAGACACACAGAGTGCCGCAAACAGAATATTAAAGCCCATTCTCTGGTGAAGGACTCGGTATTTAACACTACACGGTCTGGTTTGAGAGAGAGAAATCTTTCTACTGCAATGTTTCCTAAGATAGCAGTCAGTCTATCCAACTATTTGGAAAAATGACAGCAGCTTTATATGCACTACTTAAAGGGACACTCCAATACTACTTTAAAAGGAGACTATAGTCCCCAAAACAACTTTGGTTTAATGAAGCAGATTTTGTGTATAGATCATGTCCTTGCAGTCTCACTGCTCAATTCTCTGCCATTTAGGAGTTTTGTCACTTTTATTTCTGTTTATGCAGCCCTAGCCGCACCTCCCCTGACTCTGACTGAGAAATCAGATGTTAATTTATAAATGTTTATCTCCTGCTCTGTACATTGAACTTTAATCACACACTGGAGGGTCATGCAGGGTCTAGAGAGCGAAGCAGGCTGCTCTTACAAGAGCAAGTGTTGTGATCCAAGGGAGTATAGTGATTATAGCAATCCCCAGAGTGTGAATATAGCTCTCCAATCCCCCAAACATAAGCCTAGACTTTACATTGGCTCTCAGGTCCAGGACACTGCCATACAAAATCCCTCCTCTGTACTGGGAGATAATTGAGTCAGCACTGTATTAAACTCCATTATCTCCAGGCACAGAAAACATACATTTTTACAAAACCCCCAAAATACCTTAAAACACTCAAAATCCCCACAAAAGTTACATCCCTGATAGCCCTGATCTGGGTGACCAACATATCCAAAAATCACCCAGATCAGTTCAGGGGTTCAGGAATTTCCTGGAAGTCATTTGTTTGACCGACCGCACGCATGGTCCCATGCCCAAAACAGTCCCAGAGAATCAGGGATTGCGGTCAGTCTAGTTCCATAGTTTAAAAATGAACAAACTACTGAACAAAGTCAATAGTCTTACCCTGGAGCTTAATCCCCTTGTTAATGGGAATGTTTCCACCGAACAGTGCCTTTCTAAGTGTTGTAGAACCGAACGCAGGCGATGCTGGAAGTCCAGCGGTGTTTGTGAGTTTCTGTGTCCATTTTCAGTTCCTGGAGATTCATGCCCAAACACCGTTACCTGCGTTCATGGGAATAAGATGGCCACCACCTCGTGGTCTTTCATCGGAATTGCGGCCACTCAGACGAACACTTAGAACACTGCGGTGGAAATTGCTACAAAGTATCAATTAAGCTCCAGTGTGGTCTCCGGTTCGTGCGAACCAAATATAAAATCCCATGGACCAAGTCTGTTCACATGTTTTTTTTTAAAGGGCCCATAGTCTTTTGGTAAGAGGCTGGCCTCCAAAAACACGTGACGAGGCTCACAGGGCTGTAATGCCAGTCACACTGTGCAGCACTGCCCCAGGAAGCACCTCTAGCAGCCATCTGAGGAGTGGCCAGTGGAGGTATCCATACCCTGTAATGTAGACACTACATTTTCTCCAAAACACCTGAAGGGAATGATTCTACTTACCAGAACAAATACAATAAGCTGTTGTGGTTTTGTTGTCCCTTTAACAGATAACCAAAGTGGCAATGTATTAAACAATGGTTTTGCAAGGTGGTAGTGTGCGCCTGTTATTTCTTTCACTGAAACCTCGTTATCCCATTGGATCTTCTGGAGAGAGTTGTCCTGGTCGCTTCCTGCTTATCTCTGGCTTTTTAGTGACATGAAACTGGCTGAATTTTTACAGCGTGTCCTGCCCCTCCCAGTGTTTATATGTTTATACAGAACCCCTAAATCCCATCCCAGCAAAGACCCGCAGGACATGAAGCTCACAATTCACAAGTAATTCCACTCATGAAATTCCAAGCTACTTGTAGAACGCATACAACGTATCATGGGATGTAACAGGATGGGTAATCCTGCAGCTGCAGTGTTCCTTGTACAATAACCTCTGCAAAGAACGTAGGTGGTTATGGTATTCGGGAAGTTATTTTTAAGGGCCGACAAATGACAAATATATTGTGTTGTGACCTGATGACACCTGCATGAGCCTTTGCTAAATGCTGACAGTGCTGGGTGTGGTGTATAAACTCGACGTAATAATTCCTGACATTTCAAATCGCACAACACAATGCTTTGGGGGCGTGGCTGAGGAGTGCGACTGTCGGGAGTTTCTGGTTACTTTGTAATTGAGGACATCATGCAGCAACGAGGATAAATTATTCTAGTTCATGAAAGTGCAAATTGTCATGCATTTAAAATGTAATTTAACCCATTAATGACCACTGATATGATTATTATTATTTATTCTGTGTCTGTAATGGTATGAAGGGTCTTACAGATGGGCTTAAGCAGTTAAAGTAAAATTTCTAATTTTAGCCAAAAAACAGGGGGAAAAAATTCTACCTACTCTGCTCTAGTGAATAACCCCTGCTGTAGTTTAACTCCTTAAAGACCAAAGCAAATCCTAGGATTAGTGCTATATGGGTGTTTCTTTAAGTGCACTCATACATATTGTGTTTTTTAATTTTGTTTTAAAAACAAAAGGCTTTCTTTTATTATGCTATAAGTATACCTAATACAAAATGAAAGGAATTAAAGTGGTTCTGGTGTCTATATCATGTACCTGGAGGCTGAGCAATTCAAACATTGCCTTTTTAGGGAAAAATCAGTGTTCACATTGTTACCTAGTAACACCTCTAGCGGCAGTCACTCAGACGTGCTTCCTATCTCAGTGCTGCATAATGTACAGCACCTACATTCAGCGTTTCCACACTCTCTGCATGGAGACGCTGAATGCTCCCCATTGAGATGCATTGATTCAATGATTGGTGTTTTGCTGAGCATGTCCAATTACCTCCCAATGCTTTCATACGAGAAAGCACTGGATAGACTAAGATTGTCAAGATTGCTCACCTCTGCCATGGTGTACCTGCAAGGTGGTTTAAAACCTTATTTCTCCACTCTGAAGGGGGCTAGGGACCCTAATCGATAATTCAGGTCAATGCCCATTTGTAACAAATCTTTATTCCAATCAGGAAGTTAAATGGGACTTTGTGCTGGTGTGCAACAGCAGCTCATTGGATAGCACTGAGGAAGAGAAGAGGCGCAAGTACATGTCTGAGTTGGAGAAGAAATGCTTCAAGATAAAGGTGAGGGCTCTGGGTTCACTCAATAAAATCTTCGAAACAGAAAGTTGATTATTAAATTTCTTCAAATAGCCAAAATCTTCTGAAGGAAAAGTTATTAACATTCCTATTTCTCGTATTCTCACAGAAAGTTCGGGATGGGGAGAAGATATTTTATGGAGTTCTGGCACCCAAGGATATCTTTAGGAAATATATCAGACTTCTGAAGAACCCAGACGAAAACAGCGGTCTTAATCACACCAATACGGACCATGTGTTTCACACAACAAGGTGATCGATTATTCAAAGTGCCCTGATCCACCCTCTGTGTCCACATTGTCTGAAATAAATGCAACAAGCATATTGTCTCTCTAACAAAATATTACTGTTAAGAATGAATTTTATTAAACTGGGCAATCCTTAGATGGGGATTATTCACTAAACTCCAAATTCTAAATATATAAGAACAAATAACTTTGCTGTAACCGGAGGCATATTTGGGAGCTGGATAGATTGGTAGTAACGGTTTTTGGGAAAGTTGGTATCTTCCCTGCCTTGAATTTGAAACTTTAAGAGGAAAACTCCGAGTACTTGGCCATTGCTGTTTATTGTAGTGGTGGTGGTGGAGCTAGGCGATACATTACCTCCGTTTGTTTGTTTTTTTCCAAACTATTTTATTACAGTTTGCACACCCCTCTGATTGGAACAATATAAAGAGGACAGTTCATATTCTCATGCAAAGCTTAGTCACATCACATTTCTTAGAACATAATAAAAGCTCCACGTGGAAAATTGATCTCAGGATTCTTAATATATCAACCTATCAATACATTTAAAGAGCATTAGAAAATATATACATTCTGCACTGAATTCTTATTTTTGATAACATTTCTAAACATTGTGCACTATAGTCCCTATCTGAGGTTACTGAATAGAATAATGTGTTTAATAACTTGATATACACCTGGTTTTGTTTAACCTTATATATGCCTAATAACTCTGAGATATGTTAACGCCAAAGCGCTTTAAGTGTTTGGAGTGTTCCTACCCTTTTTTTGTTTATTTTTGTAAGAATAGTTGAGAGGCTCCAGAGAATCTTATACTTTCTACATCTGGCAGTGGTGGTCTATATATACAAAGCAGGATTAGATTTCAAACATTATTATATATCTGTATATATCTTTTTGTTTTGCCCTACACAGGATTCGAATAGTTCATTTTATTTTACAAAAGACTTCCATCCAATCAGACGGTATAAAAGGTATATTGCTCACCCTCTGCACACTGTCATTTGTAACTTAATCATTTATTTTCTGCCTATCTGCATGTCTCTATCTGGCCATCTCCACATTGAATTTCCTTCTTTGCCGTCTTTTGATCCATTTGGTATGCTATGGCATGCACCTTACTCTGTATCCATATCTTATCTCTTTCTTCACATTTCTTGGTTTATTTATTTATATTATTCCCTTCCAAAGTCATTGTTATTAATCTCTTTTCCTTTAGAGAATTTAGAGGATCTCATAAAACGTGGTGTTTTTGAGACCGTTTTCCCTTTGCATGCCGTAAGTACCAAATTCAGTTTCCTTATCAGTTTGTAGTATTACCTAGTCTGGCTTTAAAGATAAATTGTAGTCTGTTTGTGTGATAAAACCTAATACAAATATTACACATTGTAGGTATCTTCCTAAAGTCTCCTCCTATTCTATAGAAAGGGAATTCACAGTGGTTTTCCCATAGCTGATGAACACTCTAAACATACTGCATTAATATTATTATTAATATTATTATTATTATTATTATTATTGTTGTCCCGCTGTTGAATGATATTGTGGTGGTGGTAGTGCAACATCAAAGTTTCCTTCCTCTTGCTCAGCTTGAAGACCAATGTGGTAAAGAACTTAAGAAGAAATGGGCTCAATGGAGGGACGTCATATACACCCAACCCGTGGCAGAGATCAGGTGACGTATGAGATATGAGGATCCGTCTACCTAGTCCATTTGTATACATAATATTTAAGTTTTATCTATATTGCTGGCTCTTTACAATATTTGCCCTGGCTTTGCCTTGAGCTGGTTAATGATGTCGATTGCTAAATCTTTAATATAAGTTTATAAGAAAAATAAGCGTCACGTAAAAATCCTGAACACTCGTTTTATTCCATGGTGCAAATTGTAGAGAAAGGCTAATTCTATTTGGAATGTTTGTATACTATGTAACGCATGATGCTACATGGCACACATGGGGTGAACGCTTTATTTACCCAAGCCATTTGGTTATATTTACGCTGTAATCTCTGTTACAGGGAATATTTTGGGGAGAAGGTGGCTCTGTATTTTGCATGGCTTGGCTGGTACACCATCATGCTTTTTCCAGCAGCTGTAATCGGTCTCGTGGTCTTCTTGTATGGATTTGTACACTTCAACTCCAGCCAGATAAGGTATCATGTTCTTAATGAAGGGCAGTAAATTGGGGGCCAAAAGAAAGCTCAACCTCTTAGACCTACAACTCCCGTGAGCTGGAGTCTGATCGTTGGCCTTTTTTTCCATTCCTGTATATATCTTTTGGAGGGGGTGGGGGGGCTTGCATTTCACAATTACAAATCCAAAATCCTGATTGCTGAACATTAGATACAGATACATTTCTGTTGCTACCTGCCAAAATGTTAATGCCAGTAACAACCCATAAAGTTCTTTTAGACAGAATCGTAAATATGTGCAGTGAAATACAGACAGGCAATATATGATATATCCCCCCCCTGCTCCTGTTGGAAGACTGTGACAGATTCCCAACCTGTAAAGCAATTGTAAACCCAAACTTGCAAACTCCCCAATGGGGCAAAATGCTGGACATATTCCACAAACCTTTTTATTTGCAAAATAAATGCACCTTCTGTATGGAATTGCACCTCTCCACTTTGTATTTGAAACTTAAAAATAAATAAAAATAAAACGTTTTCCATTGATCCGTCATCTTGTCCCATTGGGAAGTTGGCAGATTTGGATTTAGGATTACAATGCTTTTTTCTGGTTGAGCATTATTGATATAGTACCGTATATTTTAATGTGGGACATTTCTATAAAATACAGAATTTAAACTTTTAGTTCACAACCAAAGCAAAGTGTCCTTCTCTGCAGGGAAATTTAATATAGAGATTTGTAAAGTTTCCAGAAGGGCTTGAGAGTCTCTGCTGTGGCTAGGTTTGTCCTTTGGTAGTAGAGAATGAAAGTACAGCGTGAGCCAAAATTCAGAGTAGGAATTGAGGAGTCAATGAATATTTTATGAACGTACCAATATCAATGATCTCACATACATTGAATGCTTAACGTATTAAGATTTGTTTGTCTACATACGGACGATGACCTCTTTTAAAAGAGTTCCATTTACCATTTGCAAAGTCAGGCTCTTTCGTTTGCATTGTTCATAGCATCAGTTAATGTTTTAGGCTCCAGTGCTCAGATTTCTACACTTACTTTCTCAAATGTATGAGAATTGTTCACGTACACCGCTGCCTCAGATCTCCCCACAGGAAGTAATCGGGAGCTGAAAGGTCGAGTGAACGTGGCTGCCAATTAATCTGTGAATTTATTATCTGCTCACCGAACACTATTCTCAGGAGGTCCATTGTGGTCCTGGCTGAATGGGCAGTAGCCCCATCCTGTTGAAACCACATTTCAGGATGATTTTCCACAATAGGAAGTAGAGAATTTTCAATCTTATCCCAATATCTCACATTAATAAAATCCTACTGTTTTTACTCGATTCAGTTCAAAATTGTACCTGCAACAAAAAAAAAAATGATTAAACTTCCAACAAATACTTTATTTACCTGTTAAATCCTATTCTGAATTTTGGCCCACGCTGTACATATACCCACCCAATATCTATCTTGTTTTTCTGATTATTTAGTCAAACTTTGATCATTGTTTCAATCCTTATAGTTGTCACACATCTATCCTTCATTTTAGGTTAAATATCTGTCTAATGATAATGTGTATCCACATAATTTAATGGCACACGGCATCTTTTAGTATCTTCACTAGCACAGCTTTGGTTAGAAGTCTCGCAACATGCACAACTCGGCACGACTGTATAGTTGCAGTTTTTCGTTCTATCTTTCCTTCTTTTAAATCTATTCTCTCTGTCCTCAGCCAGGAGATATGTGCAGCTAACAGCACACTTATGTGTCCCCTCTGTGACCAAAACTGTCCATATTGGCCACTGTCTGACACCTGCACATATGCCAAGGTAAGATAACAAAGACTGCTCCTTCTATCTTAACCAGACAACCTGACAGCCTCCCGTAACCGAGTAATGTCCAGTGTTTAAAACATCACCTACAAAAGTTTGTTTTAGTTTAAAATGTATCAACACCATTTCATTAGTAAGATGGACAGCAGCTTCCACACCATTCTCCATAACAGACATCCTTCTAGTACAATGGCTGGTATTAGCCACGTGCCTTTACACATTTTCATACCTCCCAAAATTTTAAATGGACAAAGAGAGCCTCTTTATTTAAATTAAAGGGGTTCGAGTGGGGGTGTGGCCAGGGCCGGGGCTATTCTGAGAAATTTTGGGTAACTTACTAATAACAATTTATACAACTAAAATGTAATTTAGAAGAAGAACAAAGTATCTTATTTACACAGACTGATTTCTAAACACATTTATTGAGTTTAAAGACACATTACTGGGAGTATTATTAGTGTGGAGCTCTGTTATACACTCAGACACATTACTGGGAGTATTATTGCTGTGGAGCTCTGTTATACACTCAGAGACATTACTGGGAGTATTATTGCTGTGGAGCTCTGTTATACACTCAGACACATTACTGGGAGTATTATTACTGTGGAGCTCTGTTATACACTCAGACACATTACTGGGATATTATTGCTGCGGAGCTCTGTTATACACTCAGACACATTACTGGGAGTATTATTGCTGCGGAGCTCTGTTATACACTCAGACACATTACTGGGAGTATTATTGCTGTGGAGCTCTGTTATACACTCAGACACATTACTGGGAGTATTATTGCTGTGGAGCTCTGTTATACACTCAGACACATTACTGGGAGTATTATTACTGTGGAGCTCTGTTATACACTCAGACACATTACTGGGAGTATTATTACTGTGGAGCTCTGTTATACACTCAGACACATTACTGGGAGTATTATTGCTGTGGAGTTATACATCAGACACATTACTGGGAGTATTATTGCTGTGGAGCTCTGTTATACTCAGACACATTACTGGGATTATTATTGCTGTGGAGCTCTGTTATACACTCAGACACATTACTGGGAGTATTATTACTGTGGAGCTCTGTTATACACTCAGACACATTACTGGGAGTATTATTGCTGTGGAGCTCTGTTATACACTCAGACACATTACTGGGAGTATTATTGCTGTGGAGCTCTGTTATACACTCAGACACATTACTGGGAGTATTATTACTGTGGGGCTCTGTTATACATTAAGACACATTACTGGAGCTGGGAGCTCTGTTATACACTCAGAAACATTACTGGGAGTATTATTGCTGTGGAGCTCTGTTATACACTCAGACACATTACTGGGAGTATTATTGCTGTGGAGCTCTGTTATACACTCAGACACATTACTGGGAGTATTATTACTGTGGAGCTCTGTTATACACTCAGACACATTACTGGGATTATTATTGCTGCGGAGCTCTGTTATACACTCAGACACATTACTGGGAATATTATTACTGTGGAGCTCTGTTATACACTCAGACACATTACTGGGAGTATTATTGCTGTGGAGCTCTGTTATACACTCAGACACATTACTGGGAGTATTATTGCTGTGGAGCTCTGTTATACATTAAGACACATTACTGGGAGTATTATTGCTAGGGAGCTCTGTTATACACTCAGACACATTACTGGGAATATTACTGTGGAGCTCTGTTATACCAGACACATTACTGGGAGTATTATTAGCTGTTATGTGAGGGAGCTCTCTGTTATACACTCAGACACATTACTGGGATTATTATTCTGAGCTCTGTTATACACTCAGACACATTACTGGGAGTATTATTACTGTGGAGCCTGTTATACACTCAGACACATTGGGAGTATTATTGATGTGGAGCTCTGTTATACACTCAGACACATTGGGAGATATTGCTGTGGAGCTCTGTTATACACCCAGACACATTACTGGGAGTATTATTGCTGTGGGGCTCTGTTATATTAAGTAGTATTATTGCTGTGGAGCTCTGTTATACACTCAGACACATTACTGGGATATTATTGCTGCGGAGCTCTGTTATACATTAAGACACATTACTGGGAGTATTATTGATGTGGAGCTCTGTTATACACTCAGACACATTACTGGGAGTATTATTACTGTGGAGCTCTGTTATACATTAAGACACATTACTGGGAGTATTATTGCTAGGGAGCTCTGTTATACACTCAGACACATTACTGGGAATATTATTGGTGTGGAGCTCCGTTATACACAGACACATTACTGGGAGTATTATTAATGTGGAGCTCTGTTATACACTCAGACACATTACTGGGAGTATTATTGCTGTGGAGCTCTGTTATACACTCAGACACATTACTGGGAGTATTATTACTGTAGAGCTCTGTTATACACTCAGACACATTACTGGGAGTATTATTGCTGTGGAGCTCTGTTATACACTCATACACATTACTGGGAGTATTATTGCTGTGGAGCTCTGTTATACAGTCAGACACATTACTGGGAGTATTATTGCTGTGGAGCTCTGTTATACACTCAGACACATTACTGGGAGTATTATTGCTGTGGAGCTCTGTTATACACTCAGACACATTACTGGGAGTATTATTGCTGTGGAGCTCTGTTATACATACAGACACATTACTGGGAGTATTATTGCTGTGGAGCTCTGTTATACACAGACACATTACTGGGAGTATTATTACTGTAGAGCTCTGTTATACATTCAGACACATTGCTGGGAGTATTATTGCTGTGGAGCTCTGTTATACACTCAGACACATTACTGGGAGTATTATTGCTGTGGAGCTCTGTTATACACTCAGACACATTACTGGGAGTATTATTGCTGTGCAGCTCTGTTATACACTCAGACACATTACTGGGAGTATTATTGCTGGGGAGCTCTGTTATACATTAAGACACATTACTGGGAGTATTATTGCTGGGGAGCTCTGTTATACACTCAGACACATTACTGGGAGTATTATTGCTGGGGAGCTCTGTTATACACTCACACACATTACTGGGAGTATTATTACTGTGGAGCTCTGTTATACACAGTATTATTACTGTGGAGCTCTGTTATACATTAAGACACATTACTGCGAGTATTATTGCTGCGGAGCTCTGTTATACACTCAGAAACATTACTGGGAGTATTATTGCTGTGGAGCTTTGTTATACACTCAAACACATTACTGGGAGTATTATTACTGTGGAGCTCTGTTATACATTCAGACACACCAACAATATGGACCTCCTAGGACAGAGGGACTAGGGCCCAAAATTATGACCTAAATAGGGACACGTGAGAGGTATACATCCATACTTTGTACATGGGGAGATATTTTTAACAGTCCCTCCATGTTCTTTCAGATCAGAATAATTCCATCTAATAGACCAGGCATAGGCAACCTTTGGCACTCCAGATGTTTTGGACTACACCTCCCATGATGCTTTGCCAGCATTATGGGTGTAAGAGCATTATGGGGGATGAAGTCCCTATGAAGTCCTATCCCTGTAATAGACCATATAGATTTCAGTATACCGAGCATTAATACTCTTCCATTTTGCTAATCTCTATCCATTACTTTGTTTTGTATAGGTGACACATTTATTTGACAACGAGGGCACAGTATTCTTTGCGATGTTCATGGCTGTCTGGGGTAAGTTAATAGACATAGTTTGTTTTACCTACCTTGCGTTTTCATAGTATCAAATATTAATAGTAATTGGAGATTACATTGCCTTGGGTACTGACCTGTACTTTAATGCATTTATAAGTAATTCAATTTACAGATTTACAATCATACAATACAATTACATAAATGGATACAATATACACTGTCTTTATTAAACATGGATTTACATATTGTCCTAGGCCGGGCCATTAAACTGCTAGTTTGCTTCCTAAAAACATGAATCTTTTTTTAGGACCAGCAGTGATCTTCCAGCTGTAATATTTTTTATATTGCAAATTACAATTCTGGGTAACTCTAACAAGATTTTTATTTTATTTATTTTTTAAATACGTTTTCGTTTTAGTAAACACTAAAGGCACCCAGACCAACTCATTGAAGTGGTCTGGGTTCCGTGCAGCTCCAGAGAAACCACAATGTTTTCTACCAAACAGCCACTGGGATCGCTTCCGGAATCGAAACAGACCTTTGTTCCACTATCTGACGTTGCACATCCTCATGCTCTGCATGAGGGTCCTATGGGGAGGTCTAATGTGCACGCGGCCATTGCTGCGCATGTGCGTTAGGTCTCCTCTGCTGGCTGATGTTGGTGGTGGAGGAGCGTGAGCAGAGCGTGGGCGGAGCCACTATGCAAACTCTCACTACATCCCTCTACACTACAGCCACTATGCAATCACTCGCCACATCCCTCTACACTATAGCCACTATGCAAACACTCACTACACCCCCTTACACTACAGTCACTATGCAAACTCTCACTACATCCCCTTACACTACAGCCACTATGCAAACTCTCACTACATCCCCTTACACTACAGCCACTATGCAAACTCTCACTACATCCCTCTACACTACAGCCACTATGCAAACACTCGCCACATCCCTCTACACTATAGCCACTATGCAAACACTCACTACACCCCCTTACACTACAGCCACTATGCAAACTCTCACTACATCCCCTTACACTACAGCCACTATGCAAACTCTCACTACATCCCCTTACACTACAGCTACTGTGCAAACACTCACTACACCCCCTTACACTACAGCCACTATGCAAACTCTCACGACATCCCCTTACACTACAGCTACTATGCAAACCTCACTACATGCCCTTACACTACAGCCACTATGCAAATTCTCACTACATGCCCTTACACTACAGCCACTATGCAAACTCTCACTACATCCCCTTACACTACAGCCACTATGCAAACTCTCACTACATCCTCTTACACTACAGCCACTATGCAAACTCTCACTACATCCCCTTACACTACAGCCACTATGCAAACACTCGCTACATCCCCCTACACTACATCCCCTTACACTACAGCCACTATGCAAACACTTACTACATCCCCTTACACTACATCCACTATGCCAACTCTCACTACATCCCCTTACACTACAGCCACTATGCAAACACTCGCTACATCCCCCTACACTACATCCACTATGCCAACTCTCACTATATCCCCTTATACTACATCCACTATGCAAACACTCACTACATCCCCCTACACTACATCCACTATGCAAACTCTCACTACATCCCCTTACACTACAGCTCTCTCACTGTCTACAGCCAATTGACACGCACACTACAGCCCCTAGCCACACAGCTGAAGTAACCTGCTTACAAAAAAACCCATAAACAGCCACTAAACGCACGCACAATACTCTCTTCTTGCCTTTTTGTCCTCTGTTATCCCACTTATGGAGACACCAGAGAAACTCACAAGCCAATCAAGCACTGCATATTACACGGGGCCTGTTTCCCATGTAAGAGCTCTGTGCATTGGCTGCCCTGGAAGAGCATTGTACTAACACGCTGGAGGAGGTGCTTGTCATTGGTGATGTCACAACTCGCCCCCTCCCTTGCTTATTTTCAATGTGACGATTGCTGATTCGAGATAGCGGCTTCCCTTTGTTAATGCATTAAAGTATATTCATATTCCATTATCTCTCATTTTGTAAGTACAACGGCGCGTACCATGGTCTGGGATTCCTACTAATGTAAATAATTCTCTCATTTCCTGTTTATGCAGCCACGGTGTTCTTGGAGTTGTGGAAGAGACAGCGGGCAAGTGATGTCTCGGGATGGAATCTGTACAGCTGGGATGAAGATGAGGTAACAGTGAATTTCATCTACATGTGAAGCACTGTTGGATGAGAACTGAGCAGTTTGTCCTGACTTTGTTAGTTCAATGTAGTGGGCTAAGCAGGTAGCAGACTGACAGTGTTAGTTCTATGTAGTGGGCTTAGCAGGTAGTGCAGACTGACACTGTCAGTTCAATGTAGTGGGCTTAGGAGGTAGAAGACTGATACTGTTAGTTCAATGTAGTGGGCTTAGCAGGTAGCGCACACTGACACTGTTCAATGTAGTCAGCTAAGCAGGTAGCAGACTGACATTGTTAGTTCAATGTAGTGGGCTAAGCAGGTAGCGCAGACTGACCGTGCAAAGTAACAATCTTCTTAACTGAATTGATAATTGGTGCCTACATTGTGCAATTCTCTGGGAGTTTAATCAATCAGTTAGTAGGCAGGTTTTGAAATCTAACTATCTAGAGGTAAATGATGTTTCTCAGTAATTTTCTGTAAAAAAATGTAAGCTCGTTAAGCTGGGCCCTCTGCACCCTTTGTTCCTGTGTGTTTAACTCACCTTGTTACAAATATATGTCTGTTAGTCATAGGCGTGCGCAGCCTATTGCATTAGGGTGTGCACCCTAAAGCACAAGCACACGCCGCATATATATATGTATGTATGTATATATATATATATATATATGTGTGTGTATATAAATATATATATGTATATATATATATATATATATATATATATATATATATATATATATATATACACACATACATACATACACATATATACACAACACACATACACACACTGCTGTGTGTGTGTGAGGGTGCTGTTAGTGTGATGTGTGTGTGATGATGCTGGTAGTGTGCTATGTGGGTGAGGGTGTTTGTGTGTGCGTGCTTGTGAGGATGCTGTTAATGTACTGTGTGTGAGGGTGCTGTTTGTGTGTGAGGGTACTGATAGTGTGCTGTGTGTGTGTTTGTTAGGGTCCTGTTTGTGAGGGTACTGTTAGTGTGCTGTGTGTGTGTGAGGGTGCTGTTTGTGTGCTGTGTGTGTTTGTGAGGGTGCTGTATGTGTGTTGGTGCTGTGTATGTGGGTGCTGTGTATGGGTGCTGTATTTCTGTGGGTGGTGTATGTGTGTGGGTGGTGTATGTGTGTGGTGTATGTGTGTGGGTGGTGTATGTGTGTGGGTGCTGTGTATGTCTGTGGGTGCTGTATGTATGTGGGTGCTGAATGTATGTGGGTGCTGAATGTGTGTGGGTGCTGAATGTATGTGGGTGTTGAATGTGTGTGGGTGCTGTATGTGTGTGGGTGCTGTGTATGTCTGTGGGTGCTGTATGTGTGTGGGTGCTGTATGTGTGTGGGTGCTGTATGTGTGTGGGTGCTGTATGTGTGTGGGTGCTGTATGTCTGTGTGTGCTGTGTGTGTGCTGTGTGTGTGCTGTATGTGTGTGGGTGCTGTGTATGTGTATGGGTGCTGTATGTGTGTGGGTGTTGTGTGTGTGTGGGTGCTGTGTGGGTGTTGTGTGTGTGTGTGTGTGTGTGTTGTATGTGTGTGTGCTGTATGTGGGTGGGTGATTGTGGGGGGTGGAGGTGGGGGTACATTCATTGCTATCCCCCCTCCCTTCTTACCTTTTGTAGGGAGGGGGGATCGTGCTGCTGATTCCTTCCCTGGTGGTCCAGTGGAGAGCCCCTGTGGGGCTAGAGTTCACTCTCGCGAGATTTGAGCATTGCCGTGGCAATGCTCATATCTCGCGAGAGGAACCCGGCGGGTCCTTTCCTGCCTCCCTCCCTGCATGTGGGTCAGTGGAGAGGGAGGCTGAGAGCAGCCGGCTCTGCATGAGCCGACAGGGGAGATCTCCCCTGCCGGTCTCAATATACATAGGCGTGCCGCGCCCAGGCACACCCGGCACACCCCGTGCGCACGCCTATGCTGTTAGTCTTCCCATTGTACAGCGCTACAGACTTTGTGGGCACTTTATAAATAATAATAATAATAATAATAATAGTTACATTTGGTATAATCGAAGCATCAAATCAACTTTAGCTGAATTAAACTCTTTTGGTGTATAGATCATTTTTTGTGCTGAAACACCCCCACTCGTCTTATACTCGAGTCAGTGTCTGTATTATGGCAACTTACATTGCCATAAAACAAACCAGGACTGCTGGGCTCATTACAAGCCCGGCGGTACTGTTGGGGGCTGGCAGCGAGCTGTTACTTACCTTTCCTGCAGCTCCTGTCAGCTCCCTTCTCTCTCCTCCAGTACGGTCAGCTCCCCTGTCAGCTCCACTGTAAGTCTCGCGAGAGCCGCGGGGTCAGAGCGTTGCCACGGTTCACCGTGGCAACGCTCCGTGCGGCACTCAGACCTCGAGACTTGCAGTGGGAGCTGACCGGACCGGAGGAGAGAGAAGGGAGCTGCAGGAAAGGTAAGTTACAGCTCTCTGCCAGCCCCCTTCCTACACAGTGCACACCACTGGACCACCAGGGAATGAGACGAAAAAAATATAAATAAATAAAAATTTAAATAATAATAAAATATTAATAATATATATTTTAAAAAATATATTAAAATAATAATTTTAAAAATTTAATAAAAATGCCCACCCCCCACCAAGGCTCTGCATCACACACACACTCTGCATCATACACACACACTGCATCATACACACACACTGCACTCATACACACACTCTGCATCATACACACACACTGCACTCATACACACACACTGCATTCATACATACACTCTGCATTCATACACACACCACACTCACACTCACACACACACTGCACTTATACACATACACACACACCGCATTCATACAAACACACTGCATTATATACACACACACTGCATTCATACTGCACACACACACACACACACACACACACTGCACTCATATACATACACTGCATTCACACACACACCACATTCATACAAACACACTGCAATCATACACACACACACACACACACACACACTCTGCATTCATTATATACACTCTGCATTCATTATATACACTCTGCATTCATTATATACACACACACTGCACTCATACATACACACACTGCACTCATACACACACTGCACTCATACACACACTGCACTCATTATATATACACACACACTGCATTCATACTCACATTCTGCACACACACACACACTGCATTCATACACACACACATCACATTCATACAAACACACTGCATTATACACACACACACACACACACACTCTGCATTCATTATATACACACTGCATTCATTATACACACACACAATGCACTCATACACACACACATACACACACTGCATTCATACACACACAATGCACTCATACATACACACACAACACTCATACACACTGCATTCATACACACACACTGCACTCATACACACACACACACACTGCATTCATTATATACACACACTGTAAATAAATATTCAATTAATGTAATTTTATTGGGATCTAATTTTATGTAGCTGCTGCATTTCCCACCCTAGGTTTATACACGAGTCAATAAGTTTTCCCAGTTTTTTGGGTAAAATTAGGGGTCTCGAGTATATACGGTAATAATTATCCGTAACAAAGAAAAGATCGATGGTTACATTAAAAAAAATTACGTAAGCTCTTAAGTTTCAGTGTCAGAGTTTAATGCCTCTGAATTGTGCGCTTGCTGGGCAATAAAAATTACTTAACACACTTTAAATAATGTTAACTTTAGCAAGAAAGTAAATCCCATCAAACGCTCAACGGACAAAATTCATACGAAATGCATAAAATAATTCAGCATTCTGAAGGATTACCATAAACAGAGTTTACTAAAATGTAACTTTATATTAATATGCAGTGATTATAAACCAGATATTATAGGTCTGTTTTCTAACGTTAATATGTCTTCTTTACACGTGGCTGCAGGACACGATGGTGATTACTAAGAAGTAAATAGTAACAAAGTGTCGGATCGGTTTGAAGTGTAGTCTGAGTACAATGGGCTTTATGGAGGAGAAGTGCGGCATTTACTTTTATTGGGCTTTTTTGGCACTTTTCCCATTTTGCATCTATTTATTCCTTTATTTGCACCAAAACATTCTTCAATGCACCGACTCCATAATTGTTTTTCACAATAGCTTTCGCTCATTTCTTTTTTATATTTAACACATTTATCTCTCGCCATATATGAAAAAGAGGTACAAAAGTGTGTTCTCTCTGTCTCAGCCGATCTCTGCCACGGTTAGATTGGCTGTGTAACGGACCGTTTTGCACAAAAGGGGTAAAACCCGTTTAGGCGATCGGCCCCCTTTCCAGAGATACAGGTACAGCTACTGCAGAACACCAAAACTCACGAACTGGATACAAAATAGCACTCCAACTCCCGAACTGGAACCTCCCAAATAGCTGCTAGCAGACGAACAGGAAAAGCAGACAATCAGCTTACACTCCTGGCAATCAGTCTCTAATAGCATACAGTGAATCCCCCCAAGAACGAGACAAGGCTCTGTGTTGAGAGTCAAGCAGTGGTCTGAGGTGCTGGCACACCCAGCCTGGTTTTTATTACAGTCTTTTCAAATACAGGACCGCCCACAGGGAGGTATAAAACAACCAATCACATCACAGTTAAATCCCACATATTCCCTCCCCTTATCCTGAGAGGAAACTCAATTACACATACAGTTAAAACATACTTTCTACCCAACTTTCATAACTCTAAAACCATACATCACATTCACATAAAATTACATATTCACAATCAATCCATTCAGGGGAACAACATATTAAAAATGGCATGAATCAGACCAGGGGTTCAAAAGTTAGTAAAAAGTCCTTTGTGACTAAATGAAGCATGGCTTTCTGGCCCAAACCAGTTTCAGAGTCTTCTATCCTGGAGAGTAATTCAATTATCTCCCAGGACAGACACAAGACTCCATTAAGCACATGGTTGCAAAAAGACACAAAACACTTTAAAATACATAAAGTCACATTTATTACATAAAACACAGACATGTAACATATCCCCAGATAGCTCAGGTCTGAGCGCACATTATTAAGTGAATGGCGCTCAGACCACACGAATACAGTTTAATCGCCATGGAGCCAAAGTCTTTACAGTCAGTTTCATTTCATACGAATGGGCTCCATGGGATTCCTATCTGGGGTATAACACATTCAAACAAATCTACCGAACCCCAGGCAGAAAAGCATGAATGAAGCTTTTCTGCAGGTAAAAAAGATGTCTTTTAACAGGGGGCCATAGTCCAAAGGCAGCAGGCAAGCAACCAGGCTTCTCCAATGCAATGTGGCGAGATTGGTCTCGTCACAGGCTGCTTTTTTGACTACAATTTAATTTGTAACTTCTCCTTTTTTCCCTAATATTTTCTTTTCAGAATGTATTTTAACCAGTTGGTTGCAGTCCCTTCACTCATAAAAAGCAAATCCGTGTCAAGAAAAAAATGCACAAAAAAAGGAATAAAATGTGGCCGAGAGAGAGAGAGATTATTTTGGCTCTCTACTCAAAATGTAGAAAGCCATGTACACGGGGTGCTATTCCAAAACACAGCACAAACTTGGAAGCAAATGCTACATTTCTTTAGACATAACCCCTGATATGCATGCATGTGCAAGCTGTATATACTGTGTCCTGTGTAATGTACAAGCTGTATATACTGTATATTGTGCAGTGGGCGGCTGTGTCCTGTGTAATGTACAAGCTGTATATACTGTATATTGTGCAGTGGGCGGCTGTGTCCTGTGTAATGTACAAGCTGTATATACTGTATATTATGCAGTGGGCGGCTGTGTCCTGTGTAATGTACAAGCTGTATATACTGTGTCCTGTGTAATGTACAAGCTGTATATACTGTATATTGTGCAGTGGGCGGCTGTGTCCTGTGTAATGTACAAGCTGTATATTATGCAGTGGGCGGCTGTGTCCTGTGTAATGTACAAGCTGTATATACTGTATATTATGCAGTGGCGGCTGTGTCCTGTGTAATGTACAAGCTGTATATACTGTATATTATGCAGTGGGCGGCTGTGTCCTGTGTAATGTACAAGCTGTATATACTGTATATTATGCAGTGGGCGGCTGTGTCCTGTGTAATGTACAAGCTGTATATACTGTATATTATGCAGTGGGCGGCTGTGTCCTGTGTAATGTACAAGCTGTATATACTGTATATTATGCAGTGGGCGGCTGTGTCCTGTGTAATGTACAAGCTGTATATACTGTATATTGTGCAGTGGGCGGCTGTGTCCTGTGTAATGTACAAGCTGTATATACTGTATATTATGCAGTGGGCGGCTGTGTCCTGTGTAATGTACAAGCTGTATATACTGTCCTGTGTAATGTACAAGCTGTATATACTGTATATTATGCAGTGGGCGGCTGTGTCCTGTGTAATGTACAAGCTGTATATACTGTATATTGTGCAGTGGGCGGCTGTGTCCTGTGTAATGTACAAGCTGTATATACTGTATATTGTGCAGTGGGCGGCTGTGTCCTGTGTAATGTACAAGCTGTATATACTGTATATTGTGCAGTGGGCGGCTGTGTCCTGTGTAATGTGCAAGCTGTATATACTGTATATTGTGCAGTAGGCGGCTGTGTCCTGTGTAATGTGCAAGCTGTATATACTGTATATTATGCAGTGGGCGGCTGTGTCCTGTGTAATGTGCAAGCTGCATATACTGTATATTATGCAGAGGGCGGCTGTGTCCTGTGTAATGTGCAAGCTGCATATACTGTATATTATGCAGTGGGCGGCTGTGTCCTGTGTAATGTGCAAGCTGCATATACTGTATATTATGCAGTGGGCGGCTGTGTCCTGTGTAATGTACAAGCTGCATATACTGTATATTATGCAGTGGGCGGCTGTGTCCTGTGTAATGTACAAGCTGTATATACTGTATATTATGCAGTGGGCGGCTGTGTCCTGTGTAATGTGCAAGCTGTATATACTGTATATTATGCAGTAGGCGGCTGTGTCCTGTGTAATGTACAAGCTGTACATACTGTATATTATGCAGTGGGCGGCTGAGTCCTGTGTAATGTACAAGCTGTATATACTGTGTCCTGTGTAATGTGCAAGCTGTATATACTGTATATTATGCAGTGGGCGGCTGAGTCCTGTGTAATGTACAAGCTGTATTTACTGTATATTGTGCAGTGGGCGGCGGTGTCCTGTGTAATGTACAAGCTGTATATACTGTATATTGTGCAGTGGGCGGCTGTGTCCTGTGTAATGTACAAGCTGTATTTACTGTATATTGTGCAGTGGGCGGCTGTGTCCTGTGTAATGTACAAGCTGTATATACTGTATATTGTGCAGTAGGTGGCTGTGTCCTGTGTAATGTACAAGCTGTATATACTGTATATTATGCAGTGGGCGGCTGTGTCCTGTGTAATGTACAAGCTGTATATACTGTATATTGTGCAGTGGGCGGCTGTGTCCTGTGTAATGTACATGCTGTATATACTGTATATTATGCAGTGGGCAGCTGTGTCCTGTGTAATGTACAAGCTGTATATACTGTATATTATGCAGTGGGCGGCTGTGTCCTGTGTAATGTACAAGCTGTATATACTGTATATTATGCAGTGGGCGGCTGTGTCCTGTGTAATGTACAAGCTGTATGTACTGTATATTATGCAGTGGGCGGCTGTGTCCTGTGTAATGTACAAGCTGTATATACTGTATATTTTGCAGTGGGCGGCTGTGTCCTGTGTAATGTACAAGCTGTATATACTGTATATTGTGCAGTGGGCGGCTGTGTCCTGTGTAATGTACAAGCTGTATATACTGTGTCCTGTGTAATGTGCAAGCTGTGTATACTGTATGTTGTGAGTGGCGGCTGTATCCTGTGTATTATTTTAAACTGTATATACTGTATATTATGCAGTGGGCTGGCTGTGTCCTGTATGTCTCAACTGTATATACTGTATATTGTACAGTGGTAAAATGTGTCTGTAATGGCAATGTACAAGCTGTATATACTGTATATATATATATATTATTACCGATGGTGGCTGGCTTGTCCTGTGTAATGTACAAGCTGTATATACTGTACTGTGTGCAGTGGGCGGCTGTGTCCTGTGTAATGTACAAGCTGTATATACTGTATATTGTGCAGTGGGCGGCTGTGTCCTGTGTAATGTACATGCTGTATATACTGTATATTATGCAGTGGGCAGCTGTGTCCTGTGTAATGTACAAGCTGTATATACTGTATATTATGCAGTGGGCGGCTGTGTCCTGTGTAATGTACAAGCTGTATATACTGTATATTATGCAGTGGGCGGCTGTGTCCTGTGTAATGTACAAGCTGTATATACTGTATATTATGCAGTGGGCGGCTGTGTCCTGTGTAATGTACAAGCTGTATATACTGTGTCCTGTGTAATGTACAAGCTGTATATACTGTATATTGTGCAGTGGGCGGCTGTGTCCTGTGTAATGTACAAGCTGTATATTATGCAGTGGGCGGCTGTGTCCTGTGTAATGTACAAGCTGTATATACTGTATATTATGCAGTAGGCGGCTGTGTCCTGTGTAATGTACAAGCTGTATATACTGTATATTATGCAGTAGGCGGCTGTGTCCTGTGTAATGTACAAGCTGTATATACTGTATATTATGCAGTGGGCGGCTGTGTCCTGTGTAATGTACAAGCTGTATATACTGTATATTGTGCAGTGGGCGGCTGTGTCCTGTGTAATGTACAAGCTGTATATACTGTATATTGTGCAGTGGGTGGCTGTGTCCTGTGTAATGTACAAGCTGTATATACTGTATATTGTGCAGTGGGCGGCTGTGTCCTTTGTAATGTACAAGCTGTATATACTGTATATTATGCAGTGGGCGGCTGTGTCCTTTGTAATGTACAAGCTGTATATACTGTATATTGTGCAGTGGGCGGCTGTGTCCTTTGTAATGTACAAGCTGTATATACTGTATATTGTGCAGTGGGCGGCTGTGTCCTGTGTATTGTGCAAGCTGTATATACTGTATATTGTGCAGTGGGCGGCTGTGTCCTGTGTAATGTACAAGCTGTATATACTGTATATTGTGCAGTGGGCGGCTGTGTCCTGTGTAATGTACAAGCTGTATGTACTGTATATTATGCAGTGGGCGGCTGTGTTTTGGCCACCAGGTTTGCACACACCTCAGGAGGGATTTTGTACCACTCCTCTTTGCAGATCCTCTCCAAGTCGTTAAGGTTTCGGGCTGACGTTTGGCAACTCAAACCTTCTGCTCCCTCCACAGATTTTCTGTGGGATTAAGATCTGGAGACTAGACCTTTATGTGCTTCTTCTTGAGTGACTCCTTTGTTGGCTTGGCTGTGTGTTTTGGGTCATTGTCATGCTGGAATACCAATCCACGACATATTTTCAGTGCCCTGGCTGAGGGAAGGAGATTCTCACCCAAGATTTGATGGTTCATGGTCCTGTCCATCGTCCCTTGATGCGGTGCAGTTGTCCTGTCCCCTGTCCTGTCCCCTTAGCAGAAACCCCCCCCCCCAAAGCATCATATTTCCATCTCCATGTTTGACGATGGGGATGGTGTTCTTGGGGTCATAGGCAGTATTCCTCCTCCTCCAAACACAGTGATTTTAGTTGATGCCAAAGAGCTTGATTTCGGTCTCATTTGACCACAACACTTTCACCCAGTTCTCCTCTGAATCATTCAGATGTTCATTGGCAAACTTCAGATAGGCCTGTACATGTGCTTTCTTGAGCGGGTGGGACCTTGCCGGCGCTGCAGGATTTCATTTCAACATAGCGTAGTGTATTACCAATTGTTTTCTTGGTGATTATGGGCCCAGCTGCCTTGAGATCATTAACAAGATCCTCCTGTGTAGTTCTGGGCTAATTCCTCACTGTTCTCATGATCATTGAAACTCCACAAGGTTAGATCTTGCATTGAGCACCAGACCGAGGGAGGCTGACAGTTATTTTGTGTTTCTAACATTTGCGAATAATCACACCAACTGTTGTCACTTTCTCACCAAGCTGCTTGGCGGTGGTCTTGTAGCCCAATCCAGCCTTGTGCAGGTCTACAATCTTGTCCCTGACATCCTTGGACAGCTCTTTGGTCTTGGCCATGGTGGAGAGTTTGGAATCTGATTGATTGCTTCTGTGAACAGGTGTCTTTTATACTGGTAACGAGCTGAGATTAGGAGCACTCCCTGTATAAAAGACACCTGGGAGTCATAAATCGTGCTGATTGATAGGGGATCAAATACTTATTTCACTCATTGACATGCAAATCAATTGATTACTTTTTGACATGTGTTTTTCTGGATTATTTTTTTTTGTTATTCTGTCTCTCGCTGTTAAAATACACCTACCATTAAAATTATAGACTGATCATTTCTTTGTCAGTGGACAAACATTCAAAATCAGCAGGGGATCAAATACCTTTTTTCCCCTCACTGTATATTATGTATTTTATGCAGTGGGCGGCTGTGTCCTGTGTCATGTACAAGCTGTATACTGTATTTTATGCCGGAGTATTTGTGAATGTGTCTGTCCTTTTTCAGGAGGAGCTGGCTCTAGAACTAATCAACGACCCAGATTGTGCCATCCAGAAACACCAGCATTCGTATCTGCGATCCACTCTCGTTCTGCTAGGAGTCGTAGCTGTGGTACTGTAACATCTCAATGACTTTCCAGTGTATTCTTGTATTCTCTGCATTAAGTCCTATCAGGATAATATACATACACTGCTGGGCTGGAAACAAAGACGTTAATATAGGACACGCGTAATCATGTAACATTCTTCCAGATAATCTGTTAAAATCAGAAACACAGAATTACACCGACATAGTTTTCATGAAAAACACACCAACATAACTACCAGTATTATATAATCAATATGTACTAAATAATGTGCTATCACAGCATACAACTTTTTTTATTACTGAATATCTATCATATTTTCCTAGATTTCTAAGACTGGTGGGGTAACAAGGACGACACCAGAATGTCCATGATGCATTGGGTTTTGAGTCATCGTTCATTATATTGAATTCACTCTTACAGAAACACTCTGATTGTCTAAAGCCTTCCTTCTTTGTCTCTTCACGACAGATCGCTGTACTGATCGGAATAGCACAAGCTCTAGTTATCTATCGAGTGGTAGCCACTGTAGCCTTTATGCGCTCGGAGTGGGAGTTGCTTAAAGAACACGCCAACACGGCCGCTGTCATGTCAGGAGCTGTGCTTCATTACTTGACTATTGTCATCATGACCAAGGTAGGGAATGTGTGTTCGCTGTGTAATTGTGATACGTGTTCTATGGTGTGACTCCTGTCAGAGAGTTACCTGTTATTAGAATCTTTGTTATAACTCTCCTAATTTAGTGAAATAAAAATCTCTGACAGTGTCTTTTATACATCGCCTCTCCTATGATAACAGCTGACAGACTGGATGTGTCAGAGCTACCAATTTCTATCATTTTAAAATCTCATTCTTATTTTCAGGTTAACCGCATGGTCTCCACGTATCTATGTAATCTTGGTAAGTCTCTTTTTAAATGACAAGCTTTGAATTAAAGGAGATTACACCACTGGGAACCACATTTTATTTTACATGCGATGCTCCATTTTCCCGTAAATGTTCATTAAATATTTAACTATTGACATCGTGCTTCAATCCAGGCATGGTCAGGGCACAGATTGTATAAGACGAGGAGAAACACACATGGCTACCATTTCTCCTCCTCTCTGTACGCTCTCCATAAGCTGGCTGACCGCTGCAAAGGGCGGAGCTTACATGTAAGTGAGCCAAGATGGATGCACTGCAGAGTTAAACACAGCGGGATGGATTTTAGATTTTATTTTCAGACAGATTTGTTAAAGGAACACTCTGGGCACCGTAATATAAAGCATTTTGAGGCCAGTGATCGGCTTAGAGCATCAATCGATTACCGACACCAAGGTAAGGCTTCATCATTGGAGCTGAGGAAGAAGCAGGCGGCAGAGAGCCAAGAAAAATGACTCCCAACACCTTCAGACACCATAATCACTTTAGTGAGATGAAGTCATTATGGTGCCCAAAGTGTTTCTTTAATTATTGGAGGAAAATTAACAAACAGGGTTATTCAATAAAGTGAGAAATGAAAATGGATTTTAGCTTTACGGCCAGAGTTGCTGAACTGACAGCATTGCTGACTTGGAGAATGTTTCCACTTTGGCTATTTTGAACTTAAATTTGAAATTCACTTTGAATTCTCACTTTAGAAATAACCCTTAAAGGGATTCCAGACCCTTAAAACCCTTAAGCTTTATGTGTGAATAGTGTGTCCTATTTTTTCATTTTCAATAGTAATTGACACTTTTATAAATTAACCTTGTTACACTCCCCCCACCCGGTTGTTAATCAGACAGCCGGTCCTGTTACTTCCTGGTTTGTTTAGCTCAATGAAGATAAACTCAAGAGGTAGCAATTGCCCAGAGCACATGCCTTTCAAAGACATTGAGCTGCATTAGGAAGTCTGTGATTGGACAGCCACAGAAAGTCTGGTCGGAGTTAGAGGGGGAGGGCTTCCAAAGGATGCAGGCAAGGGAACTGCAAGTTTTGAAAGAGGTTTTTAGATATAACTCCAATGAAACCTGCATAATTAAATGCATGCATGTTGTCATTTGGGATATATATACTAAGTAGTAATTTGTACTTATTTTGTTTTTGGATAAATAAATGAATAAAGGTCTTCAGAATCTAAATGCTGCCTCTCTTGTAATGGTGCTGAAACCATTTCTTTTTCATTTATTGCTACAATTTTATTAATATTTGTTATTAAGTGGGAGCTTCATATATCAAAAAGTGAGATAGATTGCTAGACATGTAGACAATGCTGCGACGAATACATTGTATACTGTGCCTACGGGGTATATCTGTCCATCTACGTTCCAGTCACTGAGTGCAGCTCCAACCATGGCAAACTCTCTCACTATTTATTCCTGAGCTTCATTGAACTCTCCTTATTGCGGTTCCTGCAGCACTCTAGAGCGTTGTATTCCCGGAGTGATCTCTGAGTACGGAGCTCGTCTCGTTACTTGTTATAGATTATTATGTATTTCTATATCCTCTTGCTCTGACATTAATTGATGAAGTGGAGTTTAAACACATTTACCCAGTGTATTATGTTTATCTTTCCTCAGAGAATCCCCGCACTTTCACAGATCGAGAAAGCAGTTTTACCACAAAAGTATTCACCTTCCAGTTTGTCACTCACTTCTCGTCTCTTTTCTACGTGGCATTTTTCCTTGGAAGGTAACCGTTAATATTATAAGTTCACCTATTCTGACTCTACAAACACGTCCCTTCAGACGAACTGAATCGCCTCTGACTTTAAGCCTTTTTTCATTAGACACTACTTTTTGCTGCGTAATCCAGTTCAGACAAAACACAATAAAGGCAATCGTTGCAGGTGATAGGAAGACATTGATACATTGCTTGATTTCTCCGGTGTTTGTATATTTTCTCTATGCCAGGGAAGTGACCATTCTCCTTTACAGATTATACAATTTGATTTGTACATTGTGATCGCTAAATTGCATGAAATGCGTAGACAAATTGTTTAGCATTTTCTATAACTTTACTTTCTTGAGCTTTACTGCAATGCCGCTGGCTCACCGCCTACAGTAAAGGTGACGGGTAATGGCAGCGTGAGTGGGTGTTAATCCAGGGGATACCATCCCACAATTCTTAGCGTGTAGATATAAAGTGTGAGCTGTGTGGGGAGACATCTGAGGACAAGCAGCGTTTCTATCCAGTCAGGATGCCACGTGGGGAGTGGAAGAAACATGAATTGATCATTAAACATCTGGACGTTGCAATCCTTCCGAATTAATGTGGACTTTCCATCCACACGATTTATAAAACAAACCACATTGCAAGGTGTATTGGACTGACTGGGATTTCTTTCCTCCTTAGTTGGGGGGATTCACTCTGTAGGTTACATGATAATTTGGAACTTACCCTTCCACATTACCAGCATTATTTCTCTCCAGTCTGTACGGCAATGAATGGCTGAGAGCACTGGGAGTGGGTAGCCTATCACTGCATAGACCAGACTGATTTTAGATCTAAGCTCCACATATTTCTCCTCTTCTTGTAGAATTAACGGGTATCCTGGAAATTACGTGCGGATTGCGGGTCACTGGAGGTTGGAGGAGGTGAGTTTGGGGTGATATTGGATAATTAATATTGTAACCTCTCCCCCCTGCCCCCCACAATCCAGTATCAAGGAATATTCCTCCCGCGGAATTCAGTTCTTACTGTCCTCATATCTGTCCCTATCTGTACGTAAAATGCGAAATCAAAAAAATATCCTGTCCGAGAAGATTATCCTTTATCGCTGCAATTTATGTGTCACAGTAGATCAGATTTTTTTTTTTAAAGATTGTTATATTGTTTAATAGAATAATTCTATATATACATTTACTTGTAAGAAAGCACTCCTGGGACTTTCTTGTTACACACGGTTTAAGCAGTATATATATATTTAATGGTTGGGTTAATTTTTACACTAAAAGTAGAATTTTATACTATAATAATAATAATAATAATAAAAGTATTTCATTCCCTAAAGTCAAATTAAAACAACTGCAACATTTAGGTGAAAATTCTTCGATTCCACAATAGCCACAGCTTGACAGTAATATCATGTAGACATTTGCTACAATTCATTGTTTCGAGAATAAACACTGTTGAATATCAATAGATGTCTACCCCCCACCCCCGTGTAGGATCATACAATATGCAGCTGTATGAATGTGCGGTGTGCATCCCATTAATTAAAACATTAGATGTCTACCCCCCCGTGTAGGATCATTCAATATGCAGCTGTATGAATGTGCGGTGTGCATCCCATTAATTAAAACATTAGATGTCTACCCCCCGTGTAGGATCATACAATATGAATGTACGGTGTGCATCCCATTAATTAAAACATTAGATGTCTACCCCCCATGTATGATCATACAATATGCAGCTGTATGAATGTACGGTGTGCATCCCATTAATTAAAACATTAGATGTCTACCCCCCGTGTAGGGTCATACAATATGCAGCTGTATGAATGTACGGTGTGCATCCCATTAATTAAAACATTAGATGTCTACCCCCCATGTATGATCATACAATATGAATGTACGGTGTGCATCCCATTAATTAAAACTTTAGATGTCTAAGCCCCCATGTAGGATCATACAATATGCAGCTGTATGAATGTACGGTGTGCATCCCATTAATTAAAACATTAGATGTCTAACCCCCTGTGTATGATCATACAATATGCAGCTGTATGAATGTACGGTGTGGATCCCATTAATTGAAACATTAGATGTCTACCCCCCCGTGTAGGATCATACAATATGCAGCTGTATGAATGTACGGTGTGCATCCCATTAATTAAAACATTAGATGTCTACCCCCCTGTGTATGATCATACAATATGCAGCTGTATGAATGTACGGTGTGCATCCCATTAATTAAAACATTAGATGTCAACCCCCCATGTATGATCATACAATATGAATGTACGGTGTGCATCCCATTAATTAAAACATTAGATGTCTACCCCTCATGTAGGATCATACAATATGCAGCTGTATGAATGTACGGTGTGCATCCCATTAATTAAAACATTAGATGTCTACCCCCCCGTGTATGATCATACAATATGCAGCTGTATGAATGTACGGTGTGCATCCCATTAATTAAAACATTAGATGTCTACCCCCCGTGTATGATCATACAATATGCAGCTGTATGAATGTGCGGTGTGCATCCCATTAATTAAAACATTAGATGTCTACCCCTCATGTATACAATATGCAGCTGTATGAATGTGCGGTGTGCATCCCATTAATTAAAACATTAGATGTCTCCCCCCCCGTGTATGATCATACAATATGCAGCTGTATGAATGTACGGTGTGCATCCCATTAATTAAAACTTTAGATGTCTACCCCCTGTGTAGGATCATACAATATGCAGCTGTATGAATGTGCGGTGTGCATCCCATTAATTAAAACATTAGATGTCTACCCCTCATGTATACAATATGCAGCTGTATGAATGTGCGGTGTGCATCCCATTAATTAAAACATTAGATGTCTACCCCCCTGTGTATGATCATACAATATGCAGCTGTATGAATGTACGGTGTGCATCCCATTAATTAAAACATTAGATGTCTAACCCCCCGTGTATGATCATACAATATGCAGCTGTATGAATGTGCGGTGTGCATCCCATTAATTAAAACATTAGATGTCTACCCCCCTGTGTATGATCATACAATATGCAGCTGTATGAATGTACGGTGTGCATCCCATTAATTAAAACATTAGATGTCTACCCCCCTGTGTATGATCATACAATATGCAGCTGTATGAATGTACGGTGTGCATCCCATTAATTAAAACATTAGATGTCAACCCCCCATGTATGATCATACAATATGAATGTACGGTGTGCATCCCATTAATTAAAACATTAGATGTCTACCCCTCATGTAGGATCATACAATATGCAGCTGTATGAATGTACGGTGTGCATCCCATTAATTAAAACATTAGATGTCTACCCCCCCGTGTATGATCATACAATATGCAGCTCTAGAAATGTACGGTGTGCATCCCATTAATTAAAACATTAGATGTCTACCCCCCGTGTATGATCATACAATATGCAGCTGTATGAATGTACGGTGTGCATCCCATTAATTAAAACATTAGATGTCTACCCCCCTGTGTATGATCATACAATATGCAGCTGTATGAATGTACGGTGTGCATCCCATTAATTAAAACATTAGATGTCTTCCCCCCCCTGTATGATCATACAATATGCAGCTGTATGAATGTACGGTGTGCATCCCATTAATTAAAACATTAGATGTCTAACCCCCTGTGTATGATCATACAATATGCAGCTGTATGAATGTACGGTGTGCATCCCATCAATTAAAACATTAGATGTCTACCCCCCATGTATGATCATACAATATGCAGCTGTATGAATGTACGGTGTGCATCCCATTAATTAAAACATTAGATGTCTACCCCCCCGTGTATGATCATACAATATGCAGCTGTATGAATGTACGGTAAAGTATCCCATTACTAAAACTTTAGATGTTCACCCTGTAAGCGATCATACAATATAGCTGTATGAATGTACCGGGTGTGCATCCCATTAATTAAAAATCCTTAGATGTCTACCCCCCCGTGTATGATCATACAATATGCAGCTGTATGAATGTACGGTGTGCATCCCATTAATTAAAACTTTAGATGTCTACCCCCTGTGTATGATCATACAATATGCAGCTGTATGAATGTACGGTGTGCATCCCATTAATTAAAACATTAGATGTCTACCCCCCATGTATGATCATACAATATGCAGCTGTATGAATGTACGGTGTGCATCCCATTAATTAAAACATTAGATGTTCCGTATGATCATACAATATGCAGCTGTATGAATGCACGTGCATCCCATCACTAAACATTGATGTCTACCCCCATGTAAGGATCATACAACATGCAGCTGTATGAATGCACGGTGCATCCCATTAATTAAAAACATTAGATGTCTACCGCGGTATGATCATACAATATGCAAAGCTGTATGAATGTACGTGTGCATCCCATTAATTAAAACTTTAGATGTCTACCCCCTGTGTAGGATCAAGGCCAATATGCAGCTGTATGAATGTGCGTGTGCATCCCATTACTGCCATTAGATGCTCCGCCCCCGCGTATACCATGCAGCTGTGGCTGAATGTGCGTGTGCATCCTATTACTAAAACATTAGATGTCTACCCCCAAAAGATCACAATATGCAGCTGTATGAATGTACGGTGTGCATCCCATTAATTAAAACATTAGATGTCTACCCCCCCGTGTATGATCATACAATATGCAGCTGTATGAATGTACGGTGTGCATCCCATTAATTAAAACTTTAGATGTCTACCCCCCATGTATGATCATACAATATGCAGCTGTATGAATGTGCGGTGTGCATCCCATTAATTAAAACATTAGATGTCTACCCCCCTGTGTATGATCATACAATATGCAGCTGTATGAATGTACGGTGTGCATCCCATTAATTAAAACATTAGATGTCTACCCCCCTGTGTATGATCATACAATATGCAGCTGTATGAATGTACGGTGTGCATCCCATTAATTAAAACATTAGATGTCTAACCCCCCGTGTATGATCATACAATATGCAGCTGTATGAATGTGCGGTGTGCATCCCATTAATTAAAACATTAGATGTCTACCCCCCGTGTAGGATCATACAATATGCAGCTGTATGAATGTGCGGTGTGCAAGCTCCTCTCATTAAGACGGGTGTGTGACTAATCTTTGTAACCTTCTTCTTTCAGTGCCATCCAAGCGGCTGCATTACTGATCTATTTATACAAATGTGTATAATTATGGTTCTCAAGCAGACACTCAGTAACTGTGTGGAGTTTCTCTCTCCGTGAGTATACTTAATACTGTGCACTTCTCATAATGCCGTTTTATTACATTTTAAATGCTATTCTCACTCCACATATAAAACAATAGTAATTGACTGGAAGCAAACACATGACAAAAATGATATATAAAAATAAAATGTATATAAACGTCATTCTGTATATAATAAACAAATAGGATAAGGAGGTATTTATATACCAAATACCATAAACTCCCTACACTACATAGGAACTTGGTGTCTAAAACAGTGAGACCCTCTACACTCGTAAAGCACTCCAGTTTTCTATTCAAATCCTATGCATGGTGAAATAAATAAATGAATAAATTATAAAGCACGTTAGAAATCTAGTAATATGTTGTATCTACAGCCCACGAGGGCCAGGTTTACTTTCTGGTACTTGCAAACACAATATTATCTTTCTCCTCCTAATGTTTCTTTCAATAAATATCTGTATTTAAAGGAGCGCACATTCACATTGGATATGGGTGTCAGTGTTGAGCGTAAGTAACAGACCGTATCAAATTCGTCTTAGAACTCTGGAATGTCATTTATTCTACACAATCCAATCAAAAGATAACGTAAGACATTGTGTGGGCCTCTTTGTCTTACCAACAAACAAATTATTGGCAAAATTTGGCAAAGGACATAGTTACATCATAATCTAGGTTGAATCTCTCAAAACCTCAAGTACTGCAGACTTCAAACCGCTCCCACCCAGGGCCGTCTTTAATAACGAATGGGCCCCCTGTGCCCTGCCGCTCTCGCCCCTCACTCCCTGGTATGCAATCACGCCATCCATCCCAACGCAGTGGCGGTACTAAAGTAGAATGAATTTTATTGGGTAACGGGTAATTGAACAGTAAGTAGCCGTCCTTTGTTCTCGGGGGTGGCCGCCATTCGACAAACGAACACGTGGCGGCGGCCATTTTAAAACTCCCGAACAGCGGTGTTTTGCCGTCGATGTCTGGAACTAAAATCGGACACTCGAGTAGGCGAACACCGCTGAGACCTCCACAGCCCTGGTCCGTTCGGTTCCAAACTACCGAACGGCCCCTCGTTCGGTAGATAGAAAATACCGAATGAGGGGATTCAGGCGAACCCTCCCTAGCCTCTATAGCTAGAGGTTTTCGTGTATTTTATTCCCTTATGCCAGGACCGACCGCAGGGCCCATTCACATGGAACCGGATTCGGCTATCTCAGTTCGTGCGGTCGGTCATTTTATTCCCTCCATACTTTTCCAGAACCCCTGGTCGGATCTGGGTGATTCTTGGATATGTTGTTCACCCAGATCAGGGCTACCAGGGGATGTATGATTTAAAGAGGTACCCCTAGGTTTAGGGGTACATCCAGAAACGGGGGGAATTGGTGTGCTGGATAAGGGGATTATGATGCTGGCTGAGGGGAGGAGATGTGTGGGAGGTTACCAGGACAGGATTGGCTACTGTAATAATTACTGTAAATCCCTCCCTTGCATGGGAGCAGGCTTTATAAGGAGACTGTGATTAAAGGCTTGTGAGTTATGCTTCTGAAACTGTGTGTCGTCCAGTTATTGGGATTGCTGTTGGGATATTACTGTATTTTACCTGCTGGAAACCTTGCCTGTGGATTTATTATTTCCTTGTTCTGGAGTCCCCCTTGGATTATAAGCGGAGATAACCTGGGTAATATTGCATCTCCGCTACATTGGTTGGCAGCGCTGGGATCCAGACTCACAGAGGAACAAGCCTAAATGGAGTACGGATGGAGATTGATTTTGCCACACTAAAACGCTCCACGCTAAAAGACCTTCTGGAGGCAAGGGGTATACAAGCCAGCAATAAGACAAAAGCGGTACTCATCACTGAACTGATGGCGGAGTACCGAATGGACGGCGATTCGGTTCCCGAACAGGGGAATTCGGGAGAAACACCGGAACAAAGGGAGTTCCAGAGGCAGGTACAATTTCGTCTGTCTTTCTATGGGGAACACCCAACAGAGATTGTTTCCAAAACGATGACGGAGGTCCAGGAATTTATACTGAGGAGTCAAACAGCGGCCCCAGAACGCAGCTCTGCAGTAAATATGCCACAAGAAGGTAAGCCGAAAATACCATACCAGGCTTTTAAAACATATGTGGAGGCAGAGGAAGATATAGACGCTTTCCTGCAAGATTTCGAGAGACTGTGTGCGCTGCACAGAATCAGCGCAGAGGACTGGGTACCTATTTTGGCAGGGAGGTTAACTGGGAGGGCAGCTGAGGCATACCGTACTGTACCTAATGAGGAAATACGGAATTACCACAAAGTAAAATAAATTATATTGGCCAGGTATGCTATAACACCAGAAGCATACCGGCGGAGATTCAGGGATTTAAAGAAGGTGGAGAAAGACTCACATGCTGAGTGGGCATGCAGACTACAACGAGCAGTCTTGGGGTGGGTGCAAGCGAGCAAGGCACGGTCTATGGAGGATGTATTGCAAATGGTACTGCTGGAGCAATTTTATGAAGGAGTAACCAGCGAGGTACAGGAGTGGGTAAGAGACAGAAACCCTACCTCCCTTACCGAAGCAGCCAGGAAGGCAGACGAGTACCTGGATGCACGCAGGCAGCAAAAACCTGCAGCTCCAAAAGTACCTTTTAAAACCTTTGGGGGAAACAACTACACGCCAGCTCTACCAAGGTCACTGCCACCACCACCACCACCCGCTGCACAGCCACGTTTCCGCCAGCCCACGTCGGGCCCTTGCCACCACTGCCAGAAGTGGGGACACTATAAAAGGGAATGCCCCGAGCTGCGGGACCGGTCCACCTGGATCCGACCCGATCCACCACCACCACCGAGAGCCGCCGCAGCCCATCACTACCAGGACATCGTGGCCACACCGTATGGTTCAGCAGTTCCAATCACAACGGTAGAGCAGTGGGAGGTACTGCACGAGGCAGATCCCGTCCAGGCTAATGCTGACAACCGCCAACATCACAGGCAGACCGTGTATCTGGAGGGTAAAGCGGTTCAGGGGCTACGCGACTCAGGAGCCACCATCACCCTGGTAAAAAGTCACCTGGTCTCAGACCAAGCTAAACTTAGTAAGACTGTGGCCGTCAGGGTAGCCGGGGGAGCAGTATACCGGCTACCTACAGCAAGGGTACATTTGCATTGGGGAGCGGGGGCAGGGCATGTGGAGGTGGGGTTGATGCCGCAGTTACCGGCGGAGGTTTTATTGGGGAACGATCTGGGGAGGCTCACATCTGCTTTTGAGCCCCAGACACCCACCACAGGAGAAGCTCACCCTGTGGTTACGCGACAACAGGCCCGCACCCAGGACTACAACACACTCCCGGAGGTTCAGGTAAGAGATCCTTCCCCTGCCCTTGACTGTGTTCCCTGGGCCCCTCCTAACGATTTTGCAGCTGAGGTAGTGACTGACCCCACCTTACAGGTGTATAGGGACAAGGTGACAGCAGACACGCCTGGGGGGGAGGGCGAAAGGTTTATTTGGGACAAACAGCTGTTATATCGGGAGACGGATAAGCAGGTATCCGGGTCAGACCCGATTGTGATGAGGCAGTTAGTGGTACCTCAGCGGTACCGGGCGGAGTTACTACGGATAGCCCATGACATTCCGCTATCTGGACATTTAGGGGTCAGCAGGACCCGATACAGGTTAACCCAAAGTTTCTTTTGGCCAGGAATTAGCCAGGAGGTGCGCAGGTATTGCAACACGTGCGATACCTGTCAAAGGGTGGGGAAAAGGGGGGACCGGCGCAAGGCCAAGTTACATCCCCTTCCCATAATCGAGGAACCCTTTAGCAGGGTAGCAGTTGACCTAATAGGACCCCTCAACAAAGCGAGCCCGTCAGGTAAAAGATTTATCCTGACAGTAGTAGATTATGCCACTAGATATCCAGAGGCGGTGGCCCTGACGAATATACAGGCGGAGACAGTAGCAGAAGCCCTGATGAAGATATTCTCCCGGGTGGGACTCCCCAGGGAGATTGTCTCCGATCAGGGCACCCAGTTCACCGCCGAAGTCACGCAGCGCCTCTGGAAGTTTTGTGACATTAAGCCGGTCATTAGTTCCCCTTACCACCCCCAGACGAATGGGCTCTGCGAACGTTTCAACGGTACATTGAAACAAATGCTCCGAACCTTCGCAGAGACCCACAAGGACTGGGAGAAGTTCCTGCCACACCTCCTCTTTGCTTACAGGGAGGTGCCGCAGGAATCCACTGGGTTTTCCCCATTTGAACTATTGTTTGGCCGCAGGGTACGAGGGCCTTTAGATTTGATCAGAGAGCATTGGGAGGGAGAACGGAGCACTGACGGTACCCCCATCATACCATATGTGTTGGCATTCCGAGACCGCCTTGAGGCCTTAACTCAGACGGTACGCGAGAATTTGCAGGCGGCTCAGACACGCCAGCGCACATGGTATGATCGGGGCGCCAGGGACCGTAGCTTTCAGGTCGGGCAGAAGGTGTTGATCTTAAAACCTGTCCGACACGATAAGCTGCAGGCCGCCTGGCAGGGCCCTTATAAGGTGGTAGAACAACGGTGTGACACCACTTATATAATCGGCTCGTGCGTTGGTACTGGGGGGCGACGCATGCTCCATGTGAACATGATGAAGCCCTACCAGGAGCGCTCGGAGGAAGTGACCGCTATATGTGCGCCTAACTCCGAGGAGTTTGACAGTTTACCTCTCCCAGATCTGCTGGGAGAGGGTCAGTTATCCGGGGACTTAGGGGAAGTCACCCTGGGGGATCGGTTGAGCCCACAGGAGCGGAGCGAGGTACAACAGCTGTTGAGGGAGAAGCAGGATATCTTCTCTAATGTACCTGGTTACACTCCTCTGGCCACTCACCGAGTAGACACCCCAGGACAACTTCCCATGCGTCAGACCCCATACCGCATCCCAGAGGCGGTACGGGCGAACATGCGCAAGGAGATCGATGAGATGCTCCAACTGGGGGTGATTGAGCCCTCCGACAGCCCCTGGGCATCTCCGGTAGTACTAGTACCAAAGCGGGACGGCACGACCCGGTTTTGTGTAGACTACCGGAGATTAAATGAGAAGACGGTATCGGACGCCTACCCCATGCCCAGGATAGACGAACTCCTGGATCGGATGGCGAGGGGGCACTATCTCACCACGATTGACTTGTGTAAAGGGTATTGGCAAATACCCTTGGCGCAAGACGCCATCCCTAAGTCGGCCTTTGTCACCCCATTCGGCTTGTACCAATTTAAGGTCATGCCGTTTGGGATGAAAAACGCCCCGGCTACTTTTCAGCGGATGGTGGACCGCCTCTTAGATGGGTTCCAGGATTATACCTGCGCATACCTCGATGATATTGCCATTTTCAGCAATACCTGGCAGGAACACCTGACCCATATAGGAGCGGTCCTGGACAGGATTAGGGCCGCTGGTTTAACACTGAAACCAGCCAAATGCAGCATAGGTATGGCTGAAGTACAGTACCTAGGTCATCGGGTAGGATGCGGCAAGCAGAAGCCGGAACCAGCCAAAGTAGAGGCTGTAGCTCAATGCCCTACCCCTAGGACTAAGACCCAGGTGTTAGCGTTCTTAGGAACGGCCGGATACTACCGGAAATTCGTCCCGAATTACAGTGCCCTGGCCAAACCTCTCACCGACTTGACCCGTAAAAACCTACCCCGCCAAGTAACCTGGACCCCGGAGTGTGAACAGGCATTTCAGTTGTTGAAAGATGCATTGACAAATGCCCCTGTCTTGGCAGCTCCCAATCCAACTAAACGTTTTCTTGTCCACACAGACGCTTCTATGTTTGGATTGGGAGCAGTATTGAGCCAAGTCGGGGCCGATGGCGGAGAACATCCCGTGGCTTACATCAGCCGGAAACTGTTACCTCGAGAAGTAAGCTACGCCGCCATCGAGAAAGAATGCCTGGCTGTGGTGTGGGCCCTGAAGAAATTACAGCCCTATTTGTACGGACAAGCTTTTTCCCTGCTCACGGATCACAACCCATTAGTATGGCTAAACCGGGTGGCTGGGGACAATGCCCGGCTGCTGCGCTGGAGTCTGGCGCTGCAGCCCTTTGACTTTAATATCCAGTACCGCCCGGGTAAACAGAATGGAAATGCTGATGGGTTGTCTCGACAAACTGACCTAGAGAAATGATCCGTGAGCCTCCCCGGACATCCCCAAGCCGATCCGTGTTGGATCAGACTGTGTATGCCGGCTTGTGGGCAAGGGGGAGCAGTGTAGCGGATGGCACCAGGCGACCCTACAAATATACTGTATAAACCTGCATTCGTGTATCTGCTGTATTTTCTATGTATTAAAAAGAATTGTATTCCTCTGATTGTTCGGTAGTTTCATTCCCTTAGTTTATTCGAATGAAACTACCGAACAACCAGACCTCCCCTGTGTGAAGTGTGTCCTCAATTACCCATTGCAACATTGTTGCGAACGGGTAATTGAACAGTAAGTAGCCGTCCTTTGTTCTCGGGGGTGGCCGCCATTCGACAAACGAACACGTGGCGGCGGCCATTTTAAAACTCCCGAACAGCGGTGTTTTGCCGTCGAGTGTCTGGAACTAAAATCGGACACTCGAGTAGGCGAACACCGCTGAGACCTCCACAGCCCTGGTCCGTTCGGTTCCAAACTACCGAACGGCCCCTCGTTCGGTAGATAGAAAATACCGAACGAGGGGATTCAGGCGAACCCTCCCTAGCCTCTATAGCTAGAGGTTTTCGTGTATTTTATTCCCTTATGCCAGGACCGACCGCAGGGCCCATTCACATGGAACCGAATTCGGCTATCTCAGTTCGTGCGGTCGGTCATTTTATTCCCTCCATACTTTTCCCGAACCCCTGGTCTGATCTGGGTGATTTTTGGATATGTTGTTCACCCAGATCAGGGGCATCCGGGGATGTATGATTTAAAGAGGTACCCCTACGTTTAGGGGTACATCCAGAAACGGGGGAATTGGTGTGCTGGATAAGGGGATTATGATGCTGGCTGAGGGGAGGAGATGGGTGGGAGGTTACCAGGACAGGATTGGCTACTGTAATAATTACTGTAAATCCCTCCCTTGCATGGGAGCATGCTTTATAAGGAGACTGTGATTAAAGGCTTGTCAGTTATGCTCCTGAAACTGTGTGTCGTCCAGTTATTGGGATTGCTGTTGGGATATTGCTGTATTTTACCTGCTGGAAACCTTGCCTGTGGATTTACTATTTACTTGTTCCTGAGTCCCACTTGGATTATAAGCGGAGATACCCTGGGTAATATTGCATCTCCGCTACAGGGATAAAGAAAGAAATTGGGAGGAGGGAGAAGGAAATTGGAAAGGGGGATAAAGAAAGAAATTGGGAGGGGGGATAAAGAAAGAAATTGGGAGGGGGGATAAAGAAAGAAATTGGGAGGGGGGAGAAGGAAATTGGAGGGGAGGGAGATTGACATTATTCACACACAATGCACCCCTTGCACACAGAAAAACACACAATGCATTACACACACAGACACACATATACAAGCAATGCAACCGTTACACACAATGCATCAATTACACACACAGAAACACACAATGCATTCATTACACACACTCAATGCACCCCTTACACACACTCAATGCATCCCGTACATACACAGAAACACACCTTGCAGCCCTTACACATACAAACACAGATTCACACAATGCATTCCTTACACACCTATCAGGACATCCCCTACACACTCCACCCCCTGTGAACAAACTCATTGGTGGAACATGAAGGTGGACCCTGGGACCTAGACCTTGAGCTGTGTAAAGGGCCCCCAAAAAATGGAGCTGCTTCCCGTTCTCCCAGAACATTGATTTTTGTGACCACAGTTACAAACCGCCTCCAGAGAGCCTGTTCTACACCAGACCAGTAGAGCCAGACTGCAGCTAGAGCCCATCATCATCCTCATCTGGTTGTAAGTAGGCAATCTAGTATATTATTCGTGGCACTAATCTCGAATTTACCTCACATTAAAGAAACACTATAGTCCCCAGAACCACTGCAGCTTAATGTAGTGGTTCTGGTGTCTATAGCCTGTCTCTGCAGGCCTTTTAATGTAAACACGGCGGCACTGCAGCAATGGCGTTAGATAACATGGCAAATCATATGGGTGGGGCATTGTGATGTCACATGGGGGGGGTGCAAACTTAACTTTTGCATAGGGCGGCAAAAATCCTTGCACCGGCCCTGGCTGGAGGGGGCTGTGTGAGCTATGGCTGTACAGTGCCCCATGGTAGTTAGGGTGCCGTGCGGCCAGTACAGCGGATCCAAAATAGCGCTGGGGGCTTGTCCTGGGGGCAAGGGGGTGCCAAGTACAGGATCCGTCCCGGGTGCCAAATGCTCTAGGTACGCCCCTGGTTCCACCCACCCATGAGTTCGCTCACAGGGAGTGGAGTGTGTAGTGGATTATGTGTTATTGTAGAGGATCTAATATGTGTGCTTATGGTATGTAATGTATAGGGATACCAGTTTGAGTAGGTGATGCAGTGTGTTTGTGTGTAGTGGAAGCAGTGTGTATTTGTGTATAAGGGATGTGTTACTGGTTGTGTGTAAGGGATGCAATGTGTGTGTCTGTATGTGTGTGCATTGAGTGTGTGTAAGAGATGCATTGTGTTTCTGTGTGTATGTAAGAAAAGCTGTGTGTGTGTTTGCATGTGTGTGTAAGGGTTTGCATTGTGTGTTTCTGTCTATGTGTGCAAAAGATGCGTTGTCTTTGTGTGTAAGGGTTGCATTGTGTGTGTGTAATGGATGCATTGTGTGTTTCTCTGTGTGTAAGGGAAGCATGTTGTGTTTCTGTGTGTGTAGGGATGCATTGTGTGTTTCTGTGTATGTATAGGGATGCATTGTGTGTGTGTGCGTGTAGTGTGAAAGAGCTCCCTGTCTTGCCCCCTGTCCTAGAGAGCTCTCTCCTGCCACTTAGTGGTCTCTCCTCTCCTCCACCCTCCCCTAGCGGTCTCACCTCACACTCACGCACCCTCCCTGTGTTCTTCTCACTCCCCCCACCTGTGTTCTTCTCACCTCCCCCCTCCCTGTGTTCTTCTCACCTCCCCCCTCCATGTGTTCTCCTCACCTCCCCCCTCCATGTGTTCTCCTCACTCTTCTCTCCTTCTCCTAACCCCCTGTGTTCTTCTTACCCCCCCCTCCTCCCTGTGTCCTCCCTCACCTCCCCCTCCCACTAATGTTCTCCTCATCTCTCCTTCCTCCTTGCCCCCCTGTGTTCTTCTTACCCCCCCTCCTCCCTGTGTCCTCCTCACACCTCCCCTCCCTGTGTTCTTCTCAGTCCCCGTTCTCATCTCCCCTTCTCCTAAGCCCTTAATCTCTCCCCTCCTCTCTGTGTTCTTCTTTGGCTGCCTCCTCCCTGTGTTCTTCTTACTACCCTGTTCTTCTTACTCCCCTGTTCTTCTCCCTTGCTCCCACCCTCCATGTGTTTCTTCTCCTCCCCTGTGTTCTCCTCACCTCCCCCTCCCTGTGTTCTTCTCACCTCCCCCCCCCTCCCTGTGTTCTCCTCACCTCCCCTCCTGTGTTTCCTCCTCCACCTCCCTTCTCCCTCCCACCCACCCTACCTGTGTTCTTCTTACCCCCCTCCTCCCTGTGTCCTCCTCACCTCCCCCCTCCCTGTGTTCTCCTCACCACCCACCCTCCCTGTGTTCTTCTCAGTCCCTTCTAAATTTTAAATGTATTTTATTAGTTAATTTAAATATATTAAAATTATATATTTAGCTAGCTGGGGTGAGTGGATGTTAGTGTGGAATTGGGGAATTTGGTGTTAGGCTAGCTAGGGGTTAACGTTAAAAAAAAGCCCCTCCACCCTGTCACTGCCCCTCCACCCCCCATCCCTTGTTGCTGCCCCTCCACCCTCCCTACCCCCTGTAACCTTTACACCATACCTGGAGCGCTTGGAAGGAATACACTGCTTGAATACCAGCCTTCCCTTATACTTCATCAGGGATTCATACACGCATATATTCCTTCCAGGTGCATAAGCCTCTGCAAACCTGGCAGCAAAGTGGGTAATCAGGGGGCAAATTTTATACAGCAAGTCAAATTAGGGATGCTCCCAAGGGGGCACAGGCTGTTGTCGCTGAAGTGCATACACTTGGAGTAAATGGGGGTAGAGCAGATGGGGCTACCGCTCCAGTAGGAACAGGTGGAGGGCTCCTTTACGATGTCCATTAGCATAGTTAATGCATAGAATTTTATTAATTCTGGCACATCGATGGAGGCCCATTGCAGCTTTGCCAAAAAAGACTCAGGCTTAGAAGCACAGAATTGTGTAGTATAAATAATAAGGAGAAGGAAAGGGAGAAATAAATGTTAAGGCAATATGCCCTAGATAGAAAACAAACAAGAGTGCAAATAATAAAGCTAGATAAAAGTATAGGAAGAATAATAAGGACATGTATTAGGAACCATAAGGAGTCAGAGAAAAAAAAATAACACCTTGTTAATAAATGTGTTCAGCAATGTCCAGATAATGATTTTGCAGGGTTGTATAAATCAGGTAGGCAGGTTAAAGCAGAGATGTATGTTATCCAGGTTGGTATGAAGCAGGGTTGTATAAAGCAGGTAGGTAGGATAATGCAGAGAAGTATAGTTGTAGATAATCCAAGTTGGTAAGGAGCAAGGGTAGTAGCAATTCAGGTAAGAAGCAGAAGGTAAGGTACAGGTTGTTTCGGAGGAGACA